TCAAGACAAAAGGAAGAAGTGAAGTGGAGACTGAGGCTGGCCAGCGAAACAAGTTCGATGAGGCGGGAACAGCTCAGTCCGAGGCGCGCGGACGATGACCTGAGGAGTGCCCGGAGAATGGGGGGACAAAAGCAAAAAAACACACACACACACAAACAAACAAACAAACAAACAAACAAACAAACAAACAAACAAACAAACAAACAAACAAACAAACAAACAAACAAACAAACAAACAAACAAACAAACAAACAAAAACACACACACACACACACACACACACACACACACACACACACACACACACACACACACACACACACACACACACACACACACACACACACACACACACACACACACACACACACACACACACACACACACACAAAAACACAAAGACAAACACAAACAAAAAAAAACACACGCGCACACACACACACACACACACACACAAAAACAAAAACAAAAAGAACACACACAAACACACACAAACCAAAAAACAAACACACACAAGCACACACAAGCACACACAAGCACATGCATAGGGGGGGATAGGGACCCGAAAGGAGCGCCACCAGCTACGCACGCCGGCGTCCAGGTGCACACTCGCCTTCCGGGAGCAAGGCACTGTCACCCCACGGGGCAGCAAGCAGGAAGGGAGGAGGTGCTCTTCGGCAGCAGGGAGAAGCTGCCTTAGTGCCGCCTCCGGGGTCCTCCCCCCTTCAAGTGGCTGCGAGCTGCAGAAGGGGCCCGTGGGCCCGGAGGCTGACAAGACATCATCAGCGTGACAATGACAACGACCCCTTGAAGTTTGACTGCTCCTTCTCGAGTCCATGCTCATTATGCAAGTCAAGAAAATCAGAAGAAAGCCAGAGGCCTGCATCCCAGTCCACCCCACTGGCGCCATCATCAACGACTCGCGCCTCTCAGAGAGCATTCTGAGGATCCGCAAAGTCCGGTGCGCAGAGAGCGCTTTACAAAATCAGGAAGCGGCCCGGAGATGCCCTGAGGCTGGGACTTCCGCTGCTGCAGCCGCCGCATTGAGGAGGCCACCGCTCTTCGGATCAATAGCAATGCAGTCGCCTCCGGTGCGTCTCTATGCGTCTCCGAGGGAGGCAGGGGGAGGGAAGGGAAGGGAGGGGGAGGCACCTCTGGCCGATGTTGCATCAGAGGCGGTGCTTGGTGTAGTGCCGCAGCCTTGACACAGAAAAGGTTCGGACTGAGACTTGTACAGCAGTGCGGCTCGCAAGCGCCTCCTAACACGAGCTTGGCTGCCACTGCTGCTACCACTGGAGCTTTCGCAACCTGGCTGAAGAGCACAAGGCCACAAGGTCACAACAAGGCGCCTGTCGCATGATGTCCTTGCGACTTGCGTGGGTGCAAGGCACCTTGCGAAGCGCTTCTGCCACGCAGCACTCCAGCTCTGACACGGTGTCGTGGTCTTCGGCCTAAGAAGCACGCCAAGAAAAAGCCAGCACTCAAAGCAGGCAGACAATCTTCTACAACAAAGAAACCGTGCTTCGCACCTGCAAGACAATGCCATCGGTATGCCAGGCCTTCGGGACAATGCAATGCTGTGCACTACTTTGGTGGCTTCTTTCGGACACTTCTCCAGATCCGCGTTTCGCAAAGAGCCTCAAGCAGACCCTCGAGCAGCTGGAGCACGCGCCCGCCGGGCACCAGTCCTTTGGCCTTGGTACTGTGCAGACTGAGATTCCAAACCAAGGAACTTCAGATGTGCTGTCACTTGTTTACGTTCCGTCTCTTGTCGTTGTTGAAATTTTGCACATGACAGCTCGTGCTTTGAGGACCGGACCGTTACAAGCTGGTCGATGCTGCTTTCGACTAACCTCAGGGAAACCAAACGAACTACCAATATGACGAACTTCAGACCGAAATGGCACAAACTTCGGACTTGTAGATGCGGTTTCGATGTGGGCGCCCTGCGCCTTTGCGCGCAGCGTGTCACCCGCTAAAGCAAAGTCCTGCGACGGCAACTTGCTTTCCAGTGCTGAGATGTGGTCATAGCCGCTCTAGCCTATGATGATCAGGCTATACAGGTCTTCAACATGTGATATATATATATATATACATACACATATATATATATATGTATATATATATATAGAGGCCTAACCAAGGAGAATAGAAGAAGTTGAGTTGGCGTGGACATGAGTGACGTGAGGAGCTTGACTCCTTGGCTCGTCTGTGCAACTCCAGGGCCAGGTCAATCACCATGAGGCCCTGAAGGTATAGATCTTAGGGTTTAGGGTTTAGAGTTTAGAGTTGAGGGTTTAGGGTTTAAGGGTTTAGGGTTTAGGGATGAAGGTGACTTCCACAGCGCAAATGCGAGATGTGGCACACATGGAGGCGACGGTGCCTGCGTGGTTCGTTCCTCCTTCCGTGGCGGAGGGGCCTGGACAAATAAATCGATTTAAAAAATCATATACATATTCAATCATATTCATATATGATGGCATCCTTGCAGGTGCACCACATGCTTCTTCAAAGACACACGCGCGTGTGAAGCAGGTAAGCAAACGGCAAATTCTCAACCGCACTCATTCCAGTTTGTTGAAGGCCGAGATTGCACAAGTCCTATGGGCCTCCCTACAAGTGCTGAGTGGTGCTTGCTGATGCCCAGCACCTGAGCTGCTTCGGCACAGGTCATCTTCGTCGCATCCTGCACCAGATCAGTTGATTAGCACATCTGCAAACAGCCCTAGGCAGCCATCGGCCATGGGCCATCTTAGGTCCTTAGGCTGTGTCGAGTTTCATAGCAAGCTATCAGGGAAGTCGCACTCTGTGGCGTCGAGGGCATCCGAACAGAGCGTGCGCCTCATCCCCATGTTGCTCCCCCGGCTGCGCCGGGTGCAAGTTCACAACCTGAGATTTGCTAGGCATCCTTTACAGTTGCCCCGGGCATTCCATTATTCCATTCCCACCTCAACCTGCCATAGACCTTAGAGAGCCCCAAGCCCTCTTCTCAGGATCCCGCCACTGCCCGGCCTGGAGTGGATAGACCCTTTGAAGAAATCATCTGTGAGCCAGAGCGCAAGGAGCAAGACCTTCCTTTGAAGCAAGCTCTACGAATATGGTGGTCTCTCACATGTGGGCTTCACTTCGGCAGAAAGGGCAGTTGGCCTTTCACTGCTTGGCCAGATGTCCACACTTTGGGATTCCGGCAAAGCAAGCAAGAAGCATTAGCTAGGGACTAACATACAGCGGCACAACATGCCAGACGACTTCGCAGCTTTGTGCTCAGAGCTCGTCGTTGCTCACTCCACCTGTCGTTTCAGCTGTGGCAACTTAGCGACGCTTAGTGGCTTAGTGCTTGCAATGCCGACAGGAGGCCTCTCGATTGTTCACGCTACGTCGCCACTACGTTCCCTCGAATCCCTGGCCACACAGCAATGGGTAAGTCATGGCCTCACTTGCGCCTCCACTAGGCTGATGCTCGTGCCACTTTCGGATTTGTGCCTTCCGGCCTCGACAATGCGCCTCCGGCGTTCATCGTCCTCCGTCATCCTGGCACGCCAGCATCACTGAGGCTAAAGTAACGGCCCGGGAAAGGTGTTGGCGCCGGAAACCGAGCCGCTGTGGCCAGGAGAAGTCCCAGCCATGATGGGCACAAAGGGCCTCGGCCACAACAAACAACACGTTCCTAAGAACACGGTTCCTCTGTTCACGACTCTTTGTTGTGCAGCCAATGCGCTCGAAGCCTTACTTCATCCCAGCTGTCCCTCTCCACAGACACCTCCACAACATGGGGTCGACGCCAAGACCGGATGTCTCTCAGCACCCTCTGCAGCGTCGTAGAGTCGCAGAAACATAATCAGTTCCAGCATGTTCCGGCAATTCGCTTCGTGGTGTCTCTGTCTCTGCGGTGTGATGGACCTGCCTAAGCCCTGCGGCACGAATAGCCTCGATCAGAGTCTTTGAGGCCTTTCAGACTTGAAGCTACCACAGGCCCAGCTTTAAACCAGTCATCCCCGGACGGCACAGACGTTGTCCCCTCCGGACTTCCATGAAGAAGGTGACGATGCTAGCGGCTAACCGCCCGCAAGCATGAACCGCGAGGGATGTGCAAAGCTGGGTCCTCCATCAGCGACTGAAAAGCCAGAATCCCAAAGCTGATTTCATTCGACCAAAAAGAAAAGAGCACATGCGTTTATTCGATCGGGCTTCTGTTGCTGCCGTATGATTTGATAGCGTCTTGAAGGACTTTCGTGCCGGGCCGCAACTCCTGCAATGGAGGGACTGAAATCTACCACGATAGGTTGGTTGTGCCTCTTCGCCCTTCAGCCCATAGAATCCATCACAGGCGCCTTCCCATCCTGTTGGAGAAATGAGGGAACCGACGACAGGAGACCACAGCATCACGGAGCGCAGAGTTCCCCGCCCTCCGCCAGTTTCCGCAGCTGTGCCGGTGTGGCCGGCGAAGCGCCTTCAGCGCCTTCTCAGGCCACAGCGCACGACGACATGCCACGCCGCATCATGTCAGTTCCCTCCAGAAGAACACGCGATCTAATCGCTCGCCAGGCCTGTGGGAACTGCTACAACGAGCAGGCGCTGATCATCAGAGTTGCCTCAGCAAAGCTTTGCTGATCTACGTTGTCCCAACGGAGCCAAGCACGCACCAACTTTTGAAGTGCTCGTTGCAATACACTCGAACACTCTAACGTCCAACCCGGCCTGCGCTGCTGTCAAACCTCCGTCACAACTGGAGCTCATACTGCCAAACATCTGACTTAAAATGTGCAACGATGCGCGGCGCGCTTCCTCGAACCACGCATGGAATGCCCATGCCTACTGCAAATCTTGGTGCAACATGCAGACATGAGAAGAACTGATGCACCTGATGGCCACGGCGTCTGCACCAGGCAGCCAATACGGTTCTGTCCACTCATGACCTTCCTGCAAGCACGTCCGACAATCAGCCAACGGGCGAGAATAGCATTCCCTGTCGCTGGAGCACTATACACTTCTTCAGGCATCACATGTGTCCTCTTCCAAAGCCCAAACTTTCCCCCCCAAACCGGAAAACCGTGTTTTTGCATCACCATGGCATGCACATGGTGTCACATGGCCTTCTGCTCCCATTCCTCATCTTTCGAAGTGAGGGTGAAGGCCAGCATGCGCTCAGAATCTCCGTTCAGAAGCAGCTCAGCCGAAACCTCGCTGGCCTCACTGCGACAAAATGTCCCTCCACAGCGCTCTTTGAAGAGTCGAACTTTTGCCAGCGGCCTTGCCGGGAGGCTTGAGAGATGCCTGGGACCCGGGATGCGAGGAAGTTGTTTTGTCTTGTGCTGCAATCAGATGCAGGGTGACGAAGCTTTCTGAAATTCGTATCGTCTGCTGCCCACGACGAACCCACTGCCCACGGCGAACCACTGTATGAACTCTATGACTCCATGACCGTATTCGCCGAAAAAAGTTCCCGGCATGCTACTGTGGCCCCCACCGGCAGCAGCTGCGCGCTCTTTTCAAGATCCAGCTGCCAGCCAGCCTGAAGCGCAGTCACTTGCACGGCATCGCAAAGCATCGCATGCCATCAGGTGCCATCGCATGACGCAACCTCTCGGAATCCTAAGGCCGAGAAGCCCGAACTCCTGCGACATGTGCAGGGCTGCTGCGTGGCAGTCCGCGTCCAGTCAGCGTGCCATCTGCCAGGGATCACATGTAACCCCTTTCCCCAAAGGGAGCCCGCCCCCATCTGCCCTCGGGTCTCTTGCGATGCACCGAAAAGCGAAGCCTTCTGCCATCTTTCCAAGCTGCTGCCTTGCATGATGCCCCACATGTGTGAGGATCCGGAGACCGGACAGCCAGGCATTTGATCATGGGCACCGTGGGCCTGGGGCTGCCGGTGAAGCGAACTAAGGCCTCCGGCAGCAGCTCCGCCCGCAGGGCACTGCAGAAGACCAGGCCTCACGGACTCACAGACTCACAGCTGCTCTCTTTTTGTCCGTGCAAGACTTCAAGAAACCATCTCCCAAATCCACATTTCAAAACCGCAGACTTGTTTCCTTTGTTTTTCCCCCGTGTACCTTCCCTCACTCCTTCACAGCTGAACCGCTCACGCGCGTATTAGTGCAGTCTGATCACTGGGGCGGAATGACAAAAGCTGTGGCGACAGCTGCGTGCACTCAGCAACCACAGGTATCACATGCTCGCCCACTGCGTCCTTCTTAGCCTACAGCCTGTCGTGCCGAGTCTATGCTGGTTCTGAGAGTCGGGCTTAAGCCTGGTCTTGCCAGCCAGCCGCAGATGCGGGCATACAAGGTATGGATCTGCCTGGTGCAGAGACGCTTGTACAGAAAGAGGAATGTTCAAAGCTGAAGCATCACGCAGCGCTTTGCTTTTTCGCTCGGCAATTCTGTCTGAACGACACTGATCGATGCAGATGTGTTGAAGCAAACAGCTGTTCCGGAACACGACAGCTTTCCTGCACACGCTTCAGAAGGGGTGGAAGGCTAAGGGTTTAGGCTGTGGGTCCAAGGCTTCGGAGCTCAAGGTTGAAAGCTTCGAGATTTCAGGCACCATTCTGAGGGATTAAAAAAGGCGAATTACTAGGCTTCTTATGCATCTTCGCTTCGGGCTCAGGTCTCTTGGGAGGTCTCTCAGAGCGGCTAGTCTGGGCCCTGAGACGTAGAAGCTCAGGTGGCTGAGCCCATCTTGCATAGGCACCCGTTCCAAGGGAATATTGTTTCGTGATGGTCTTGGGTCCAAAGTAGTCGCATCGAGCAAATCCTGAAGCCATTGGCTTCGGCTGCTGGGTGCAAAACTGAACTTCGATTCTCCACTCTTGTTTCAGGAAGCAACTCGACTAGCCCTTGAGTGGAGCCGGAGAAGCATGCTCCACTCATCCGCCTCCCAGACTTGGCTAGCCTCGCAATAGCGGCCCAGCCGGTCGCCTTCTCTGCCAGGAAGAAGAATGAACCCTTTAAGAATGAACGGTCCCTGCTCGCTGGTGCAGCAGGCAAGCCACTTATCTGATCTCTCACCGTCCGGCGCCAGCTTTTGCCCTTGCGCAGGCCTAATATGGCTAAATCGTCTTCGGCAGTCTTCCGATCCGAGGCGCTTTTCTACAGGTCCTGCTCCTTTGCCTCTTGTACGGCTTCGCCCGCGTCCCGGAACAGCGGCGAAGGCATGGCTTTCTCCCAGTCGGGCTCCAGTTGCTCGCTATCGCTAGCTTAAACTGTCTTCACTTGTCTTCAAGACTATTTCAAGTCCCCTGCATTCCCGAATGAACGCACTGCCCGGACCGCTTTTTTATCACAGACTGTTGTTAGAGATCAGTGCGGCCCCTCGCCTGTAAGCATCCTCCAAGTTCTCGGGGAAGTCAGGTCCATTCTTGATTGCCTGCATCAAAAAGAAGTCCATGCCAGAGGCCCACGAAATCTTCGCAGCGCGCTTGCCTGCATCGCCTCCGACTCTGAGCTGGGGCCGAAGAGCGTCGCATCGAGGTCCTCAGCCCATCTGACGTGTTTTGGGGCCCAGTCATCAAGTAGCAAGAGATACACCAGGTCACCAAGTGCATCTGGGCTCGGGACCAAGTACCAGCCTGGTTGGATCCCATGCTCCTGCCGAGATTTCGCAATGGCAAGCACCGCATTTGCACACTTCTTCCGTGCCCAAGTTCGCCCCCCAAGGTCCTCATCATTCATGTTCCTACAGTAGTCCTACAGATAACTCCGAGATCCCCCCAGTGCCCCTGATAAAACCGAGTGCCCCCGAGTGTGCCCGCGTGCCTGGGCCGGGCCCGGTGCCTGAAATGCTTTCAGGAACATCGGCGCCAGGGGCGAGGACTTCGAGATGCCCAAGAGGAGCTCGTCACCGGCCTTTGCACAAGAATGACTCGACTGACTGCACCCGGAACCAAAGGCGCGCTAATTGAAACAAAGACCTCCTCCTCCAGACAGCTCTCCAAAAAACACACATTCAACGAGAGAGCTATGAAAAAAGAAAGAAAGACAGAAAGACAGAAAGACAGAAAGACAGAAAGACAGAAAGACAGAAAGAAAGAAAGAGACCGTGAGAAAGAGAAAGAGAAAAAGAGAGAGAGAGAGAGAGAGAAAAAAAAAACACACACACACAGAATCTCTTTCATACCAGAAAAAAAGAGAGAGCGAAAGCCACCTTCTCCTTCTTGCCGTACGTCACCACGACTTGGCGAGGGCCCGAGGTCTCCTCCTCTATCCACCGCGTACGGGTGACTCATGCTGTGCTGCGAAGCAACTTGAGCAACTTGAGCTCTCTCTCCCTACTCCGTTGGGTTTAGGGTTTAGGGTTTAGGGTTTAGGGTTTAGGGTTTAGGGTTTAGGATTTAGGGTTTATTAAGAGTGTTAGGGGCACAACGCCAGCAGAACCGGGTCCTTGGCTTCCGGGCTTTCCGCTTCAGCACCTTTGCGCACGTTCGCGCAGGTCAGTTGGCCGCAAGCAATCCCTCTCCTGCCGCCGCGATGCTGCACCACACGTAGCTTTTGGAGTTGGTCCGCCGGTGAAACACCACCTCCTGCAACGAAAAATGCCTAACACGGTCTCTAACTTGAGGAGCCAGCGGCATAGTCAGTCATCTCAAAGCATCGTGCTATCTGGGACGTGAAGATAAGAGACTGCTCTGTGGTTGGGACCCTAACAAAGGAAAAGAACCACGAGCTACAGCGTCCGAACCGAAGCCGCACGTGGGCGGGTGGTGACAGGGCGCAGAGAGGAGAGGGAGCGGACCATGACAGCGTGTGCCAAGCTTGCCTCGCCGCCGGCGGCTCCAGAGAGAGTCAGGCCATCTTCAGACAATGTTAGAGTCATCTCCTCAACATCGCAAATCACTGGCGCGTGATTTTAAGTCAAAACGGTTTGCCAGAAGCGTGTGAAAGTAGTGCAGGTCCTCCAGGTCATCTGTGAATGTGCCTGTCGAATCCTCTCGACCACGCGATGTCTTTTCTTGCTAAGGGTTCTTGTGGTTATTGCATGGGTTCTTCTGAAACTGCCGCACAGCATGCGAAGCAGAGAGCAACGGATGACGTATGGAAACGGGTGGAAAGAGAAGCAGTTGCAGTCTCCTCCGCATCTGCAGTTCCGGTCAGGGTGCGTGACACAGCCTTGCAATTGCGGCGCAAGTGAAAAGATTGGCGAGCTGGCATCAAGACACATGCACCTGCGACTGTACTAACTCGGCCAGGGGACATCGTACGAGCCCTTGAAGTGCTTGCGAAGCGATTGCGTTCCACTTCCTTGGATTTTTACCACCACATGTGTTGCCATCAATTTGTACTTAGTGTTGACATTACATTGCTTTGTGACACTGTCGAATGTTCAACGCCTTGGAGATTTAATCATTTTCTTGCGGTTTGGTTCTAGGGCACTCCAGTTCAAAAACTCTCCATAAAGCGGTTGCCTCCATGTCAAGCTGCTTGCTCCACTGGTTGATCGACTAATGCGATGTGAGCGGTCTAAGACAAGCCCTCCCCGCGGAGGTGCATACATGTGCATACATTCTAGCATGCGGTGTGTAACAGACATTTTGGCCGTGAAGCTGGAGAGCCAGATGTCTGCAAGCACCACACCGTCCGAGGAGTGGATCTCCAGAAGGCAGCGGCTGCCAAGACATCTGCTACACCACCTCCACAGAGCGGGGAGCTCTCACACTGCCAAAGCCCCCCACAACGCTGCTGCTTCTGGCGTAAAGCACACTTACTCTCATCGCTTCTGCCTCCCTAGGAGGTTCTGCGGCTCTGCAACCTGTGCACACAACAGGGCTGGATGGTTCACAGATGTGCACAACCATTTGAGAGCACAAGGATGAGGTTGCCCCTTGCGAGTTGGGTTTGACATGAGCGGCTGATAGAAAGGCTTCCGCCTGCTCTTGTGTGGCTGCATTTAAGTTGCATTGCATGCTCAGCAGGCACAAAGGAACTACAAGGAAAGATTGCATCCGGGCCGTGCTTACAAACCCGAAACCCAATGTTGTTCTTGATACACTGCCACTCCCATCCCTATATTGACCTATCCTATAGAACAGTTGAAGGTACCCGAACTCACACGCTGAACAACCTTGAAGACGTCCTTGTCCAGACGGCGCAGGCCGTGCTTTTCGGGCGGGCAGACTGCTTCGTAGCGCAAGGTCAGACCGATATGCGGAGCATCTCCGCGCTGTACACAAAGCAATCTCGTGGTGAGTGTCGTGTTGCTGAGGTGTCCCAGGGCTTCTGTATCCTAGGGGCCTCTAAGACCGCCCTAGAGCTGAGCTCTAGCTGACGGTGAAGGTAGCCACCTCCAGCACCCCACTAAAGCCCGCAGGCAATGTGAAGACTTCCATCACCTTCTCTTGAGGCACCCCGGCATTGATCTGTTGGATGATCACGGTACCTCTCGAAGCACCCATGGCCCCAGTGCTGAAGTACTTCACGCCAACCTTATAGGTTCCCTTCCTCCTGCCCGCAACTATTACTTCAGGACCAAGGCCTTGTGTCTGATCACTGTAAAGTTGTAGACCCCAAGAGGTCCGCTTGTTGCCGTAGTAGCACTCTCCTCCTTCAGGGTCGATAACATGCAGGTCCACATCGTTGGCATCTGTCAGCCAGGAGAGAGTAATGCGTAATCCAATGTCAGCACCTCTCTGGGAGTCCACGGATTTCAGGACACCGCCGGAGAACTCCTGGAAAAGAGGCTTCGTCTTCTCGGAGGCCTCGAGAGAACGCAGGAAGAGCGCGGCCTCTTCGAGGAGCACGCGCTGGACGTCCCCGTAGCGTCCATGGAAGCTGGCCTCCAGGCCTCTCGCATAGGTGCTGGCCGCGAGCGCGTAGTCCTCCTCCTCCCACGCCGCCATGGCCAGGGCCCGGTAAGTGTTCACGTTGTCGCTGCGCTCCTCCAGCGAGCGCTGGGCGAAGCGCCGCGCATAGGCCGCGGCCGTCGGGGAGTTCAGGGTGAGCGCCAGCCAAGAGGCCCTCAGGAGCTGCTCTGAATCTCTTGGCCGAACTTCTGCGATGGATGTGGCCGCTCGCAAGGCGAGAGAAGCTTGACCCAGATGCATCCCTGCCTTGCTCATGTACTCGAAAGCTAAGCCATTCGTCGGGTCCCAGGTAATCCATCCTGCGCAGTAATCACGCAATTCCTGCGCACGGCGCTTTGTCCACAGAGCTCCTGCATAACTTGATGCGGTCTCGCGATTCCTGTCAGTTGGGGGTCCAGCTGCGTGTTTAGCCAAGAGCTTATCTGCCTCTGCAACCGGGCTGGACCATTCTGCTTGACTGGGCAAGAAGTTCAAGAAGAGCAGGGGAAGGATCAGCAGAAGGTAGAGACGGGCGCTGCTCTGCCTCGCAGCATCACCACTGGCGGCGGACTCCTGCAGCATTGCCCCTTCGTCGTCAGCTGAGAAGACATCTTCGGTTTCGGACTCCTGGGCACATCTACCAGCATTCTCATCTGCTTGGCACGCAGTGTCGTTCGTGAACGTGCCATTCGTGCCGTTTGAAGCCGGTGGGCTTGGCAAGTTGGCAGGAGAGAGTGGGAGCGGCAGGGGTGACAGTGTCATATCGGATCGGGGCAGCAGCTGCACCCCCGAGGAGGTCACCACCAAGATGGGAGATAGCCGATCTTGGGGTATCCCAAAACGAACGTAGTCCGCGTCAGTTTCCAGGACGAGCAAGGCGGTATGTGGAGTCATTACACGGCTTGATTCCGAGAGCTGCACGATCTGAAACTCGATCTCCGAAGCAGCAAGAGCGCTCTCTGCAAGCTGACGCTGCGATTCCAAGAGATCCAGCCGGGCCTTCGTGGCCTCGCGAGAGAGGAGTGAGCCAAAGGAAGCGGCAGATGCCTGAATCGCAGCAGCCGAAAGATTCCTGCCAGCAATCTGGAGTTCGGGTGCTTTCACTTGCAGACCTGTCTGCCCACCGCTGAACACAATGACTTCATCTCCAAGCTGCAAGTCAGAGAAGACTTCAGGCCAAACCCAACCACTTGCAGCAGCGGTACTGGCCCTCCTTCCGAGTGGTTCGGTGAGGTCACGCCACGCTTTGGCAACGACAGCATCGACTTCCTTCGATGTCAGAGGAATCTGGACAGCTCGCCCGCCTCCCGCAGATGCGACTGCGCGTCCGACAGAGCTGTCATACTTTGACCCAATAACGCCAAGTGAGACCACGCGCTGCTCAGAGGCCTCGAGGAGCTGGGCGAGCCTTAGGTTCTGAAAGGCTGCGCGATACCTTTAGACACTCAAAAAAAAAAGAACTTGACGGCCCAGGCAATCGGAGTCTCCCAGCAAAAGGCTACCGAGGGTTGCAAAAGGATGCCCGCCACCCCTGTCGGATCCGGGCCGATCCGGCGGATGACCTCCAGGGATCAATGCAATCCAAGCTTCTTCGCCGACGATCTCTCCTTGGCTGTCGCAATGAAGTCACTGAGAATCAGCACACCCACAGTCTCCGCAGGCTGCGGGTTCACGTTCGTCTGCACGTGTTGAAGCAGCAACTCCATGTCCGTGGCTCCCAGCGGATAACGTGCTTCCAGCGCAGCACGGACTGTGCTTCCAAGCTGACTGTCCTTGGGCCCCATGGGCCTGATCTCGGCCACCTCGATGTCGAACGCAAAAACCCTGACATCCGCCGAGGGCATGGCATCCAAGAGAGAAGCTATTAGAGGAGTCCGCACAACGAATGAATCTGCAGTAGAGGCCGATGTGTCGATATAGACCACCCAGCTGGAGGGTGTGAATGGTACACGAGTTGTCACAGCCACATCCTCCCCAACAACATAGGAGGTCACAAGATGCCCACCATCCACGGAAAATGAGCTGCTGGCAACGTTTGGATCCCAAACCTCGAGCAGAGCATCAGTGAGAGGCACCACAGGGCCCATCTCCTCCGCAAAGCGAAGGAGGCCGCCATCGGTGACGCCGCTCACTTGGCCCACTTCGGGTAGGGTGCAGTTGGCGCTGTAGCCAGCGTCGCCCAGCGCCTGCGTGACAGCCATAAAGGTGAGGTTCTGTATCTCTGGCAGGCCGGCCATGGGAATCTGCAGCACACGATACATCTTTCTGGCGGGAACTGTGAGGGTGTAGGAGAGTATGAGGCGCACCACGGCACGGGGCTCGATGGGGAACACCCTGGCTGTGAAGATGTTGCCCTGAGACACAGGCGCAGTGAAAATTGACCGTTGGGGGAACTTCAACTGTACATGTTGGACTGAATTCATGACGCCTCCACATCCGGATGCCAAACTTAACGCAAAAGTCTGCGCACACTGAAGCCTACATATGTATCTGTATATATATATATACATATATTTATGTATTTATATATCACCCAGCAAGGGGATCAAAGGTCACGCCTGTAAGGGTTGCTCTAGTGCCTGAGGAAGGTGACATCAAGGCACATTGTGAGAGCAATGGCCAAGGTTGGCCGGAGACTTAACCGAGACTGGGTCATTGAGTATATGGAGTCATGAAAGGCATATACGCAGGTACCTGTGAATAACCAGAGCAGAATTGGCTCAGGCTGTTGTTATTGAAGTTTCTGCCAACAGTCAGCGAACCGCAGACAGCTCGCATCATGGGAGCCCGCTTTGCGGTACATTGCTACCTTGAAAGTACGGCACGAAATAGACAAGTATGACGTCTCCGCCTCCTTTTGAAAGGACTCCTGTTTTGAATCCTTTCACGAAGCCTGCCAGAGTCAGCTAGGATCGAGTAGAGCGTGTTCGGGCCTGGCTCTGCTCCAAGAGTGCCGGATCGCGTGCTTCATGCAGAATCTCTCTGTAGACGCGCTGGGCTTTGGATCGGTTGACCACTTCTCCCTCCATCAGCTTCGCACCGATTTGCATGGCAAAGCGGCTTGGCATGGCCGGACCATCTACTCCGACTGGCAAAGCAAAGGAGAACCGGCCTCAGTAGGCGGTGGACTGGCGGCAGACTATGGAGGACAGGTGGACGACAGTATTTGACACTCCTGTCACTTGCGTCCCCGCTATGTCCTGCCACTTGCAACTCTACGCCCTCCCAGAATGTTGCCAAACCTTGGCAGGCATGTGGTATTCCTGCCATGACACCTGAAACCAACCCCGTCATCTGTGACTACCTCGTCCTAGTCCAGCCTTTCGGTAAAAAGGGTTTCGGTCTGACCCATTTCTGATGTCTAGTGGCTTTCGGGGAAGGCGGGAACGACATCGTGCAAAATGAACAAACACGCACCCACTCGGACATTCACGATTGCTCTTTCACCCAACGTCCACCCCCAGGTGCCCTTGCCCGGCGGCCTCGCACTAGCGGTTAGAATAGAAGCCCGATACTTCCATGCCTCCAAACCCCAATAAGGCGTGCAAAGCCCTGTAGTGTCGGGGCATGTCGGGGCTAAAAATAGGAAAGTTTGTATTGCCCACTAAAAAAACCCGGAAGCTCCCAAGACCACCCCTTCAGGTCGAGATGTGCACGGCACTGTGCGGGAGAAGGTGTCTAGCCAGAACATGCACCGGACTGTGGCGGGTGCACGATTTTGGTCGACATCAGCACAGCACTGTCAGGAACACGATGATACAAATTGTGCACGGGACTGTTGTGGGAGCATGACTGTTGGTGTCTTGGTACCACTCTAGGAAACGCCCTTCAAAGTGATTGCGATTTCCTTGAGGCCGCCACCCGTCATCTGTGACTACACAAGCTTGCTTCCAAAACGTCTGAGAATGTAAGGAGTCACAAATGACTGGAGCGCCGCGGTGACTACAGATCAAAGCTGTGAGGCATGCTCGCCAACATGAGAAGCACCAAGACGGTGACCCTCCATTCTCCGATCTTCTGGATTTTGAAAAACCATCTCATTCTCGACCATTGCGAAGGGTCCAAACAGGGCTGCGCTCACAGCCAGCTTTAAGAACACCAGCTCCTGGCCATACAATATCTATGCTCTGGATTGCACAGCTGCAAGCAGAAAAAACAGGCCCACTAGGCTACCTAATCTACAACTATCTACAACTCGCAAACTGCTTCGGGAGCAGCTCATGAAAGCGGGGAACCGCCCTGAAGGCGAGTTCCGGTCCTGTCCCTCCGGATTCTGGAGAGAAACTGCCGGCCCAGCGGCTGCGCACACCAGAGGCGCCAGCGGCGCCAGCCATGTCAACATACGGCCCCAGAGGCTCCACATCCTACAGCACCGCCGACGAGGTGACCTGAACAACTGGCCCCCGACCCTCAAATGGCTGCAGGGGAGCGATGGGATTTCCAAGCATACTGCAAAACACTGCAAGACTGCAAGAGCCCAGTCCAGTGCCTCGTCGGCAGAAGCTTCCTGAAGTGGCCAGAACATGTCGTTCCTGGCAGAAGCTTTTGCTGCTGTTGAAGAGGCCTACAAAGAGGCCTGCAATCCGCTCACAGAAAAATTCGCACGCTCATCGAGCCTTGCAACCTCGGCATCATCCAGCAGGAGGCGCCGAAGCATTCCAGGACCCCTAATCGCAGCGTTGCCGATGCCGTGATGCTACATGAGTATCTACATGTATCGACCGGCCTCTCCACAACAGTGCCAGGTACATCGGGTAGGCAGCTCAGGAAGCCTCTCATCTTGCATCCATTGAAAGCCATTCCAGGGCCTTTGTCAAACTTTGCAGCTTGGCGGCTGCTGGTCGAAAGCAGCGCCACGGCTCTGGCACCCAGTCCAGCTGCCCGCCACGTTAAACGCGGCTCAGTCAGGGCAAGGTAGTTTGTGCCTGTACCTCAGTTGGGGGAGGTGGCCCCTAGGTCCTAAAAGCACTTGAAACGCGCTACAAGACTATTCTGTTACAAGTCCTTGTCGTGGAGCGGCCAAGCCTGTGAAAAGCCAACCTGCTCCTACCGGACCAACCACCACGGACCACAACCATGAACCTGCTCTCGGCTCCAGTTAAGACTTCTGAAGCTGGATCTGGCCTTTCCGAATGCAAGCTAGAAGCCTTGGGGGCTCTGTAGGCTCAGGACATGTACCGCGATGCCGCAGCTGTCCTCCTGGCACAAACATGCCATGCTTTGCTGCATTCTGGCTCACGCAACAGAATCCAAGCTGAACCCCACAGCTTCCTTGTCCGCCATAGGACCCAATGACAGAAGCTGCTCGATCTCTTGGCATTGCTGGTTTAAGTGCAGCACCACCTCAACTACCAGGCAGCAAGGTGCCCTCCACTCACAGCACTTTTAAGCTGCTCAAGGGCCAAGCAATGGCTTTCATGTCCGTAACCGAGACAAGTGGCCGCCGAAGTAGCCCGAGGCAGTCCAACACCTTCCAGCCATTGACCCTGTGCAGATCTCACCACCTCAACTCGCTTTGCGTCTTTTGTCGAGGGGTACATCACACACCGGGCAGTGAATTCCCCAATTGTCCGCATATTCAACTTTGTTCCAAAATGTTCCAAAATGCGGGGAGGCTTGCTACGTTGCACGAGGAAATGCCATGCGAAATGCTGCATGCTGCATTAGGTGTACCGACGCAAGGCGCGCGATCGTAGCGATAGGAAAGCCGATTGAGACCCGACAGCCAGTAGACGAAGGAATTCAAGGACTTTTGTCTCCGGAAGCCATTCTACGTCTTGCCCCAGAGCGGCCAACAACAGCATCGAAACGCGAGAACATGCGAGAACCCTTCTGCCTCCGCTACATCTGCTCCGCCTTTCTTGCTGTTGCAACCCGAACTTGGAGGAACCATCTCTCTCTCTCTCTGGCCCCACCCTCAGACGTGTCTCAGCCCAAGCTGCCTGGGTCCAAGCCTCAGAGGCCTTCGGAACGCGGCACGAAGGCTCGCGCAGCGCCGTCTGCAGTGCCAGCTTCGCCCACTCGAGCTTGAAAGAGGAGGCCTAGGCACTTTACGCTTCTAACTGGAATGCCTTTGAGATCCTTTGAGTGACTCACAGGACAGAAATCCTGGCATAGCTGCTGAGAGACTCCGTGCTTGCGGAAGATGAGGTCTTTGACGCCGGCTTGCCCAGAAAGCACCTGAGCCGCGAGACCGCAGATGCCACAACGGGAGCGTTTCTTCCATGAGGTTGGGTGGAGCAAAGGCAAGAAAGGCCCACAAAGATGTAGCAGGGCCACCTGCTGCGACGGTCCATTGCATCTGAGTGACATCCATCAGAGTCTCGACTTCGTCCTCTGGCACACCCAAGGCCAGCATGGCTGGCTTGAAGGCTTTTCGACGCACGCAGCCTGACAGCGCCGCGCTTGGAACAAGTGCATCGATGGCAGATATGAATTGATATGTATTGATATTTGCGAGGAGGAGGGAGGATCGGAGGAGAATCAACAGCTTGACGCAAGGCCACAATTTGCCGTACTGGAGTCGCCACGCAACGTGAGAAAACTAGAAAGACCATCAAAACATGTCGAACAAAAACATGAGAAGATTGAATTCAGAATGGCGCGCAAACACCTTTTCACCTTGTGTGCATACCGGATTCCTGGGGAGGAGCCCGACAAAGGCTTGTGAGAGACGATGGTAGAGACATGTTCCCCGGGACTCGCAATGCCCTCATGCCATGGCATCCCTGCCTTTCAACTCCAAGGCTGCTTTCCAGCCGCCTCGCTGAGGCTCCATGCAGGGGGTGTTGCTTGCGCTGCTCAGGTGCACGGACGTCACGGGAGCCCGAAACACGAAGCCGGACATGTCGTCCTTGTCATTCATGTGCCAGGATGCATCCTGCAAGGTGCATCTGCCGCACAACGGCAGTGCGAGATGACAGCGTCAGAAAACGTGCTGCGCGGTCAAGTACAAGAAACAATGAAATGACACGCAGGCACACAGGCTTTCGTGGGCTGCTTGAAGAACTTTGCTTACAGCTTCGTCCTCCGTGCAGTAGTATATAATGGCACCAGCTGGTGACCGGTACAAGGAGCGTCTGTTGTGCCGCCCAGACCATTTGTAGGTTCCACTGCAACGGCCCGCATTGCTGACCTGGGGAGTTTAGGGCTGACGATGATGGCTTAGGAATGCTTCGGGCTTCAGATTGTGGATTTGGTTTGCCCGTTTGATGGGTTCTTCCTACAACTTCAGAGATACATACTACTAACTTGTGGGTGAAGAGAAGGTCTTAGAATCTTAGAAGGGCAGAGGTTTTGCGGTTTTATGAGCGATGGTTTGATCGCTTAGGTTCTCTGCAAGAGTTTAGAGTTTAGGTGTTGGGTTTCAGGTTGAGGGGTTTAGGGCTTGCGGCTTCAGGTCTCCTAAACCGCGCCTGAACGGTCCAGCAACGGGCCTTCTGCTTGTACTTCTGCGCGGCGACCAGACGCAGCACATGCCGCTTCAGGCTCACCTCGCCATGGATCTGGGCTTCCTGCCAGGCTGAGGCACGTGGACACCAGGCCGGCTCAGAACTGGCGGGTTCTTAGTGTCCATTAAAGGGTATGTGTGTGTATGTATATATATATATATACGCATATACATTTATATATATATATATATATATCCCTCATTCCCTATTAAGAACCGGGGGGAAAAGTTTAAAGGCTGGGATCGGGGTTCCGTCCTTGTAGATGTTGAGCACCCTGGAGTCCCCAACGGCAGGGCAGTCGATTCGGATCCGTCCTTGCCCAGCTCCGGGCCACAAGGCCCACTTGTAGCTCTTCCTGAGAGGAACCGCTACACATCCTTGCACTCATTTTAAGCACTGCCGTCTTGACATCTTCCCCCCCCCCTTTTTACGACCTCGTCTGCTTTTCGTAAGAACTCTCCTTTTGGCCTGCTGCTCACAAATCGGTCCCAGTGGCGGGGGAGGATGCTTGAAGTCTGGCCCAAACTGGAAGGACGCGCGGCCCCTGAGGGAGATGGCGGGATAGAGGCCCTCGTTGAAGGTTGGCATGTCCTCTTCCAAGACTTGTGGCCTCCACGGCTCGCTCCAGGCCCCGTTGGATGCAAAGCAGATTGCACGGAAATCGAAGTCCACCACGACTCCCACCACGACTCTTTCGGCCAGAACAGACTGATGTCCGTCCTCGTAATAGACATCTGAGTCTTTCTTCTTCCAGCTGACATCCCAGGCACAGAGAGGCCCACCCTTCAAGCAAGCACCTCAGAGTCACATGAGTCAGCTGGACTCTATTTCTTCTATTTCTCCTAATTCTTCTGTACGCTTCTTGCTTGGGCCATCTGAGAGGGCTACCGTGCATGCCATCGACGCCACAGCTGTACTCATCGTCGCCGATGCCGCTGGTGGACTGCACGCCGGGCAGGCACTGGAACAGGTCGCTTGCCAAGCCAACCTGCAACAAGCTCTGCGAAGCTCAGCGGTGCACTTCAGCCAAGCAAACGGGGCAGCTACCAGATCGGAGGACGCTTTTCTCATTCACCCACATACGAAAAAGATCTGCCATCAAATTGCGAGGAGTGAACTATGGAGCCATGTGTAGCATAGCCAGAGGTTGAAGGGCAAAGCAACGATGACGCTAATGTGATTTTAAGCGTACCTTCACATCATGATGTGATTTGCACTCGGCATCACTGTCCCGCAGCAACATGTAACTTCTTCTCATCATGGACCAGAGATGACCAGAGACAAGCTTGCAAACACGACGCGCCTGGGGCAAACTGCACTCTTCGATCAATTCGACCTCGAAGAAGAAGCAACCTTACATCTCAGGTGCCAGATATTGCAAAACGAAGGAGACCCGCCACCTCTGCTCTGCGTTTTTTGATCTCCTCTACGGTGTCAGTGTGCGTCACAGTGTATGTGTATGTGCATGTGTATGTGTATGTGTATGTGTATGTGTACGTGTATGTGTATGTGTATGTGTATGTGGGTGGTTGTCAAAATGATGATCCCTTTTGGGGTACCCTAAATATTAGGTGCCGTATTATGATAGGGTAGCCACAAAGGGACCATAATTTCGACAACTCCCCATGTGTATGTGTATGTGTATGTGTATGTGTATGTGTATGTGTATGTGTATGTGTATGTGTATGTGTATGTGTATGTGTATGTGTATGTGTATGTGTATGTGTATGTGTATGTGTGTGGGTGCGTGCGTGCGTGCGCGCACGCCTGTGACTGTGTCTCCGTCTGTGTCGGTGTGTCTGTGTGTACGTGTCTGTGTGTCTGTGTGTCTGTGTGTCTGTGTGTCTGTGTGTCTGTGTGTGTCTGTGTGTCTGTGTGTCTGTGTGTCTGTGTGTCTGTGTGTCTGTGTGCCTGTGTGCCTGTGTGTCTGTGTGTCTGTGTGTCTGTGTGTCAGTGTGTCTGTGTGTCTGTGTGTCTGTGTGTCTATGTGTCTGTGTGTCTGTGTGTCTGTGTCTCTGTGTCTCTGTACGTCTGCGTGTCTGCGTGTCTATGTCCGTGTCTGTCTCCGTGTGTCTGTAAAGGAAACATTCCGTGCCAGGACACCCGCCTTGCGCTTCAGCTGTGGGAAGCCGAAGCTCACCCACTGTTGTGTCGGATCCTCGGTGCTGCCTCGCAGAGGCCACAATCATTATGACCTTCGAACCTCTTCAGTATACTCATTGCACCCTTCCGATGCAACCTTTGCACCCATGTCATGACGGCGCATGGGCGGTGCCTCGCAGAAGCCTTGGTGCCTCTGAGCTCGGGCGTGCAGGGGGTGCCGTGGCAACGTCCACCAACTTGCGGATCTCCTCATCTTCGTACTCTTCCAATACCTCAGCTTGCGCGTTCGGGTGTTGGGGCATGGGGCGTTGGGCATTTACGAACACGGCGAGCAAAGGTTCGGCCTCCGGCCGACAGGCTTTGGGAACAAGCAGACCAGGATCCATCACGGCCCACACACACCCCTCCCCTATGAAAGCTGGTTGCTAAATGCTGCTAAGTTCTTTTCAACCTCATGTACGCCACGGGCTCAAAGTTGCGGGTTTACAGGTCAGTTGCTCTCTGGTCTTTTTCTCGTCCCGTGGCTTTGGCCGGCCAAGCTGCCAAGATGGAACGCACAAGCGCTTACAATGAGAAAAACAAAACAAAAAGGCTCTACGGATCAGCCAGGCACATGTGCGTACTTGTCGAGCACTGCCAGCCGAGAGCCTGCCAAGGGATGCCAAAGACGAGGCAAAAATCGTTGCAAATCACCTCAACCTGCACTACTGCGAAAGTTTGCTCCAACAAAGTGCAGCACTGCGGAGGCTAGAGTTTTTTTACATGCATGGTTCGTCCACACTCCCCCGTCACTCCCACTCGGCCTGAGATGCCTCCAGAATCCTCAGGGGCGAAAGTGCACCGGAGCCGAACATCCTTGAGGACCAGGTAGGAATCACCGTATTGCAAGGCGGGCTTGCAACCTTCAAAGTCGTTCGTGACCTCAGCGTTGCAGATGCATTCCTTGCCGAGGGGCTGGTCGCACTCCCAAAAGTTTAGATCGCCTAGTCAGCTGACCACGCAGTCCCTTACGGGAGCCTCTGCAGACAGCAACCATGACGCGTTGGACCGTGGACTGGGCTTGGGTCATGCTGGGCTCACGGTACCATGTTTTGAGGGGTTCGGGTTCCCTGTGAAAAGGGACTGGGCCTACCGGCTCAGCAAGCGCTGAAGTATTCAGTATCCCTGCTCTGCCATCGCTCCAAGTGGCGTTCAAGGCTCCATACTTGCATCGCTCGAAAGGCTTGGCGTCGTCATATGCATCCCCAAAGAGGTCTCGCTCCCACGTGACGCGTGTCTGATTGCCTTAAGCAAATGAGGCGCAGAGGTCTTAATCCAAGAACCCCATGAACGAGCTAAGACTGCTTTGCCAGATTTTGCCAGGTGGCCCTCATCGATGGCTCCGTACGAGGTCTTGGTCTCAAATTGGCTCCTATTGGCAGAAGCAGCATCCGGGAATGTCACGGAGGGTCTTCAGATGAGGGTCTTCCGATGAGGTCCCTGGAATGATCTCCTGTAGTACTCGTCGGACTCCAAGAACCGGCCCACAGTGTCAATATTGACATGAATAATGACAGGCGCGAGATCTTGTATCCAGCTCAACACAGCCTGGCAGCTTCTGGCTCCCGTCCGGCACGTCACGTGCTGCATGCTATGCATGATACCGTGGGAGAATGATGCGGATGTGGCCTGCAACTCCTTGTCGCTGAAGCCCATCTTCTGGAAGCGCTCGAGAACCCTCGGTTCGGCTTCCTGCGAGTTGCCCCCACCCCATGTGCCCCGATGATCAACGATCCCAGATTATGCGGATCAGCATGGGGCTTGGCGTCCTCGTGGCTGGCCGCGGCATGAGCTCGAATCTGTGCCAAGGCCCGGCGCTGGCAGCTCGTCAGGCGGCACACCTTTACAAAGAGAGGGTCACTGGGTGGGCTGAAACATGCCCGACACTCATACAGGGGGAAGGGGGAGGTGGAAGCCGAAACATTCGTTCAACGCGGACCCGGCACGCGAAAGGCAAAATGAAAAGAGGATGAAGGCTGTAAGTTGGCTGTAAGTTGGCCTCCCGCATCTCAGAGGCTGGGAAGATGGAGTCCCAGAAGGGCTGGTCCTCCTCGTGGATGCCCACCTTTCAAGCGGAAATAATATGACCCGAACCCCCATCGCACAGGCTCCTCCAATTGAGCCTGTACTCGGTAATCCCCTCATTTGATTCTGAAACCCCCCTAATATAAGAGATCAGGGTGTAGGGTTTGAAGTCAAAGGTTTTCGGACAAGGGGTTGAGGCCAAGGGTCAGGTTCTAAGGATTCAGGGCTAAGGGTATAGAGCTTGCAGGTTTTACGGTTTAGAGTGTACAGCTTAGGGTTTAGCATTTCGGGCTCAACCCGCAAACTGAAACCTTCAACTCCTCCCTCCCTCCCTCCCTCCCTCCCTCTCTCCCTCTCTCATTCCCTTTGGGTTGAAGGTTTGGGATTTCAACGGGGGTAAACCGAACATGTATAATATTAAGGGATTGAGGGCGTTAGGCAATCTCCTTAGGCAGTAAAGCTTAAACCCAAAAACAAATCCCCATTTTCCTGACCTGAGAATGCCAAAAGCGAAAGAAAGCCCCTTTTCTTTCGCCAGATCTGGATTTACATATTGGTGGGTGTGGGAGGTTTGGGGGAAACGGTTGCTCCCAGCATGGAACACGACGTGTGCGATTTAAGTTTGCGCCGCCTCGCGGAGGGCAGCAGCCACCTCGGCATCCTCCTCCGTGCTGACGATCCAGTGCGCCGGAACGCAGGTCTTGCGTCCACCCCTCGAGAAGAGATGAGAGAAAAAAACCCCGAATGTCCGGTCCAGAACATGAAACCGCAAACAACGCTCATCCTGCCTTAAAAACTCCAACTGCACCTCCAGCTGAGAGGGGGCGGCGATGTCCTCCTCTCCTTTGAAGTGCACGCCGATGACAATCGCCTCCTCCGCCTGTTCTGACTTCTTGCGATCAGGTTTCGTGCCAGCCTCAGTAGTGCAAGACAGCATGTGGCACAGCAACAAAGGCACGACCGCCGTACCGCATCTGGGCAGCATAGTAGTGACTCCGCACGCGCGCTCCGACTGCCACACCGGCAAGACTGGCGGCATCGCGGCGGGTGCTCGCGACCTGAGATGCGCATGCGGTACATGCGGCACCGGAGACTTGAGAGAAGTTCGACACCTGCTGCCGACGCTGCTCGAAGAGCCGCTGCACCTCAAAGAGCACGTAGCACACCGCATCACGCAGCGGGACACCATGCAGCACACCGCAGCACACCATGTAGCACACAGCACACGCCCACTTCTCGTCCGAGGCCAGCTTGCAGCAAGAGAGAGAGAGAGAGAAGAAAAACAAAATCCCACACAAAATCTTGAATCGTTGAATGTGTGCACTCTGCAGTCGGGGCGCTCCGCCCATGCGGCCCACGAAATCCTGGAACTCATTCAAGCTGATGCTGCCTGGGCCAGGCTCTGCTAGGCTGTGCGAGGAGACACAGCAGCCTCTGAAGCCGCAAGAGAGGTTGGAGAGTTGACTTGGGATCAGGCCATCGGCGTCGTGGTCCAAGTCCTTCGGATCCACGTCAAAGCCAAGATAGGCTGCCAGTCGCGCCAGCTCACGGTCATCCAGGTGATCCGACCTACTAGTATAGGGGGCAAATCTGCTCCTAAACCCGGAAGGTGCTGAAAATGTAAAACACTCTTTCGAGGTACATGTTTCGCCCAAGATCCAGAACCGCACTTACCACTGCTGAGGACACTGAGGGCCGTTGGGCCGGGGCCCTTGCCGGTCCACATCGAAGCGGTGGAAGGCCGTGTCGATGCGCTGCCGATCCAGATCGAGCCCTCAAGGCGTGCTGACTCACAGCGACACGACACGGGCCACATGCGTGAACGCATGTGAAAAGTGCTGTTGCGCGCGGATAGGAGGAAGAAAGGGTGACCCCAGCTGCTGCTCAGGCACCACGCTTGATTCGTTCCATGCAGGCCTTGCAATGTGCGAAGGTCAAGCCTACTTGGAGCACATGGAGGGGGCCTCATGTGAACTTGTGCTCCTATGCAGCACAATATGCCAGATTCATACGATGATTCGTCAGTTTTCATCTGATTCCACAGCGAACCCAGACGCATTGAACACCCTCGAGGAGCTCTTGAGAAGCTCGCGAAGCTCCCTCTATCGCGCTCTCTCTGGCCTTCGCCTCCGCCGGGTCGCTCACCAACACCTCTGCCCAAAAAGAACAGAATGCAAAACAATGGGAACCTCATGGCGCGTAGTATAGGTTTCTGGGCGTAGGAAAGGTTTCTGGCACCCCCAGTGGCTGATGCAAAGTACCCTTCCTTGAAGGCTATTCTTGCGCAATTCTGATGTTCAGTATATGCGTTCCATCGCGGTGGTCTCGTCTAACCTAGCCTTCACATCCGCCCCAAATGGTTTTACTCACAGTCCTGCTGCGCTTGCGAATTATGTCTCCAGGACCTGCTCTTGCTCATTGGACTGTCCACATCCAGGAAGCCCTGAAGCATCCTTAAACCAACTGCTCGCATGTGCTCACTCCACTACCCGATAAATCCCACGTGATTCAAGTAGCACAAGAACATCTCAAGATATATGAGGGTTTGAGAGCTTGAGCGCTTGAGCCGCCACCGACTGTTCTCATGGCAGCCTGCGCGCCTGCGCGCAGCGGCTCACCCAGCAATGAAGAGGGTGCCGGCAGTGGGCCGTAGCCGGGTTCAGGAAGGTGTGCTTCTGCACCAGGGCCTGAAGAGTTTCGACGACAGGACGATGCTTTTCGGAGGGATCGAAGGCGTGGTGTGCGCTTGCCTGAAGCTCGCTCGCAACACCAGAGGCAGGACCCTCTCCTAGACGAAGTGCCTTACCAGCGTGCTTGCACTTACAAGATAGTCTTACTCGCCTCGAAAAGTCATTTCCATTGCTTCGTGTTGCAGAACGCTTCACTATATGTCAAAAGCAGCTTTCTTGCCCAGCTGCGGCATCTGCAGCAGGAAGCGGATCCACATAGCTTCTGGGTGTCTCATTTGTGCTTGCCCCCGGCAAAGGTGGACCAGGCAGAGCCACAGGCACCACCGAAGAACCTTCGGCAACTTCCTCCGGCTTCTTGTCTTCGGCAGCGGTCTTCGCAGCCCCCGCTTTGCTTTCATCAGTAGGCGCAGGTGATGGCTTTGATTCTACACTTGCAGACGATGGTTTCGCCTTAGTGTCCGCCTCGACAACAGCCTCCGGCTTCTTGTCTTCGGCAGCAGACTTCGCAGCCTGCGCTTTGCTTGGATCCACAGGCGAAGGGGCTGGCTTTGATTCTGCACTTGCAGACGATGGTTTCGCCTTAGCATCCGCCTCTGCAACAGCCTCGGGCTTCTTTTCTTCGGCAGCAGACTTCACAGCGCCCGCTTTGCTTGGATCAACAGGCGCGGGCGCTGGCTTTGAATCTGCGCTTGCAGACGATGGTTTCGCCTTGGCATCCGTCTCTGCAACAGCCTCCGGCTTCTTTTCTTCAGCAGCAGACTTTGCCGCAGACTTCGCAGCCTCCGCTTTGCTTGGATCAACGAGCGCTGGTGCTGGCTTTGATTCTGGACTTGCAGACGATGGTTTCGCCTTAGCATCCGCCTCTGCAACAGCCTCGGGCTTCTTTTCTTCGGCAGCAGACTTCACAGCGCCCGCTTTGCTTGGATCAACAGGCGCGGGCGCTGGCTTTGAATCTGCGCTTGCAGACGATGGTTTCGCCTTGGCATCCGTCTCTGCAACAGCCTCCGGCTTCTTTTCTTCAGCAGCAGACTTTGCAGCAGACTTCGCAGCCTCTGCTTTGCTTGGATCAACGAGCGCTGGTGCTGGCTTTGATTCTGGACTTGCAGACGATGGTTTCGCCTTAGCATCCGCCTCTGCAACAGCCTCGGGCTTCTTTTCTTCGGCAGCAGACTTCACAGCGCCCGCTTTGCTTGGATCAACAGGCGCGGGCGCTGGCTTTGAATCTGACGATGGTTTCGCCTTGGCATCCGTCTCTGCAACAGCCTCCGGCTTCTTCACTTCAGCAGCAGACTTTGCAGCAGACTTCGCAGCCTCCGCTTTGCTTGGATCAACGAGCGCTGGTGCTGGCTTTGATTCTGGACTTGCAGACGATGGTTTCGCCTTAGCATCTGCCTCTGCAACAGCCTCGGGCTTCTTTTCTTCGGCAGGGGTCTTCGCAGCGCCCGCTTTGCCTTCATCAGGCGCAGGTGCTGGCTTTGCTGCTGCCGCTGCAGCTGCTGCCCCTACTGCTCCTGCTCCTGCGGAGGATGGCTTAGCTGTGGCATCTGCCTCTGCAGCAGTTCTCTCTGCACCGGTCTTGCTATCGTTTGGTCTTCCAACATCTCGCTCCGCATCCGGCCACGAAGACCTTCATCGGAAAGACTGGAATATGTGCAACACATGCACAACTGACACAACTGCAAAGCTTCCTCTCTTAAGTGTGGACAGCTGTTCCATGCTGTTCCCCAGCACGCGCCTCAATTGCTCAAGGTCCACCGCTCGCAGAAGCATCGCGACGACGTCCAGGGCACCTTGAGAGCCCCCCAAATTTTCTGAAATCGGCATCTTCAGAGAGATCTTAGTCGCTTATGCTCCCACATTCTTTGTCCCCAGCTGGCCTGCTTGCACTGCGTAGTACAGCGCCGGGCGGCCGAAACCATCCACCTCCGACAAGGGATGCGACGTGCCCAAGAGAGACAATTTGGGACCCAATATGACCCAATTTGGGAGCCCGGGCCTGGCTGGCACTGCATCGCCTGTCTAGCAGCAACTGGAGGATCTCCGATCTCGACTTCTCCCCGGGATTTCCCATGGCATAGTAAAGAGCATTGCGATCCTGCGCATCCTGGCAGGCACTCGCATGCTCACGCAATCAGCAGCACACTGATCTGCATATATCTGCACTATGCAGTCTGACCTTGAGCAGGGTGATGTCCAGACTGCTCTGGAGAAGGATGCGGACAGTCTCGGGATCGTTGCAGCACGCCTCAGCAATTCAAAGCACTGAGATTTACACCGCAGATCTGCATGAGCATCATGAGCACAGCCGAGCTGCTAGATGGAAAGCATTCCTTGGCTTCACACGCCATGTTAATGATGTGAATGACATGAATGCATGGGAAGTCTGTTAAAATGGTGTAACATTTGCCAACTCAAGTCGAGACACCGGCCCTTCTGGTCGCTCTGCTGGGGCCGAGCCCGCTGCTGAAGGAGGCTACGCACGACTGCCCGGTGCCCATGCAGAGAGGCCATGGCCAGCGCCGTGGCACCGTTGCCTCGCAAGAGAAGACCCTGCAACATCTGCAGCAAGATTCTTGAGAGGGGGGGAGGGTGGAGAGGAGGAGGAGGAGGTGGGAGGCACTTCGCAGAGCCTTCCACCGCATGCACGTCGGCGCGGCGCTTCAAGAGAATGGCGCACACCTCCCGCAGACAAAGATGTTCTATGCATCGTCCTACATAGAAACCCCTTTCAAGGAAGAACCCATTCACCTTGAAGGAAAATTGAAATTGTAGTTCGGGTTCTGAATATGTGCGTCCATACTGCTAAAATTTACGAAAGGTGGGGGGCGACTCCATATTGACTCCTCTTCCTGTCGCAGTTTCGGCCTCGGCATGCCCATGCTTGGCAGCGCAGTGAAGCGGCGTGCGGCCCTTTTGCTCCCGGGTTTCCAGGAGATCCGCAACCACAAGGTCCCCTTCATACTCAAGTTGTGTGGCGTGCTCCAGCACCCCCTGCACTTGCACAGCATCACCTGTCAGGTGACGGTTGCAACAGGTGTCACGGAACATGATGGAACATGCCAGCCCTCTTCCTGCCTCGGGCGGCCGCCGCCAAGAGCGCCTGGCCCAGCACCGACGCCGCGTCGTGGCGAAGCCGCTCGGAGGGCTCGAACTGTCTACGTCCTGCCACTCTCACACGCACTCAAACTCTCGTTCTGCGACTTTGACTGCACAACTGTCGAAGTCTGAGATGAACGAACAGTGAATCTCTGAGCACTACCGCAGCTATCAGCATTGAAGCTCATTGAAGCGCAGCCTACCATGCCTACCAGAATCAAGCTTCCTTGCACGCATTTTGCTTGAACCTTCCTTGCGCCTTCCATGCTTGTTGGTGGCAGCCTACTTCACGGAAATTGGAGCCCATCACGTCCGCGTGGCCACTCGTCTCCCACCAGTCTCCCGAAAACTTCCGTTCATATTTTCATAGGCTCAGCACACACGGCAAATCCCCCGACTTGCGATTCGTCAGTTGTTTTTGCTCTCCTGGCTTAGCTGACCACTTCGTAATTTTCAATCTTGGTATAGTTATTCCTCTTCCGTCTTCACATGATTCATGGTCGCAGTTCGTGTCGGAGTGCTTCCCTTTGCTCGCTGACGACTCTCTCTCTCTCTCTCTCTCTCTCTCTCTCTTGCTGGGCTCTTTTTACATTTCTGGGATGCATTGATATCAATCTCAAAGACGCTTCTCCCAGCTCTGGAGTCTCTGGAGTAGTGCGCTGCAGTAGTCCTGTGTAAGGATCCCAGGAGACTGTGAAGAGGGGCGAGTCCGAGAGGTCGCGGCATTCGCCTTGTGGCGATTTGTCAAGGGTGTGAAGTTCAAACTTCCGGTCATTCCTGTCATTCCGATCTCTGCGAGTCTCGTTCCTTTCGTTGAGAGCCGCGGACCGGCTGTCCACCAATAGGGGACTGGAGGGTCGTGAAGGGCTCCGAGGGCTCTGGCTGCCCCGGCCCCGGCTACGACTTGCCTTGCGGCTTGCATTGCGACTTGCCCGCGCCCCTATCGCCCCTCTCTGAAATGACGGGGTTCGGCTCGCGCTTCGTTCGCGAGGCCCGTTCCAGAACTTCTGCCAGGGCACCTCCCCCGGTGCAGGGAGCCTGCGCGACGGGGACAGCGACCGGGACTTCGAATGGAACCGGGCAGAATGAGCAAATTTCCCAGATTGCCCAGTCTCGGCCAGCTGCGAGGGAAGTGACGGCAGCAGGTCGCGCTGCTGCTCAGGCAGCAGCTCGCGCTGCGACAGACGCAGCTGCCGCACCAAATCCACTGGTGTCCGTCGCTGGATGCCCGGACCCAGCACTGCATTGCCCAAGACGGGTATTCCGTCCATTGACTATGTACACGGGCTGTAATGGCACGGCTCGGCGACCACCAGAAGGTCACCGGCTGTGTTGAGGCGAATATGCAACAGGTCGAGAGATGTCCAGCGCTCTGGCAGAGGATCTGATAGGCAATTGGCCAAGATTTGTGTGCGCAGGCTTGTGGCCAGTTACACCAGTTTGCACTGTGCTGCTTACTCTACCCTTTTTCGCTCTGGAAGCACAGGCGAGCCTGGCGAGTGGCCCCTCCACGCCTTCTCAGCACCGGACATGAAGTATCACCACAAGGTCACGGAATGCAAATGCACACAAAACATATAGCGAACGACAAGCAAACTAAATTCTACATGCAATATACCCGCGAAGACAACACACCGCAACGTAGCTTCCTTACATTCTTCTCTTCCCATGTCCATGCTAAAGTCCTGTCATGTCCTGTCACGAGTCACATCACGTTATTGAGACGAATGCTAGTCATCATGTGGAAGGCCAGGAGTGACAAATGGTGCAGCGATGAATTCTGTGCTCGTTACCGGGAAGGCATCCGTCTTCCACGTGGCGGCTACAGCCGAGCAGTCAGGGAGCAAGAAAGAAGTCGTACTATCAACAGAACAGAGTAATAGTAATGATCATAATAACAGTTGTAATAACAATTATAATAACAATAATAATAACAATAACAAAATAATAATAATAATAATAATCAAAAATCATAATAACAATAATAACAAAAATAATAATAATAGTAATAACAATAATAGCAATAATCATAATAATAGTAATAATAATAACAATACCTGTAAGTCACTCAACAGCCCGGGCACGGCCACGGCGCAGCGCCGTTTGACGGTTGGAGGCCCCGTGCGTAAAAACACCTTTTTTCTGCGCATCCAGGAAACGTCTCAAAAGGCACACGAGAAATTTTGGTTGGTCTTATTGAGCTGTTGAACACCCAAACGTTGGGCCTGGCCCGGCTATAGCTTCGGCGACCTCCAACAGTGCATTGACGGGATCTATGGGGGCTACCGGCCCTTGAAACTTGAAATGAGGCAGGGCGCTCAGCTTGACCGAGGGCACCCCCTTCCTGACTCCTTCAGAGCTCAGAAAGGTGCTCGGCACACGATGGAACAGACGTGCACATGTGTTCATCCGTCTACGGCCCTGTGATACAGAGGGCAAAGCTGCTTCTCTAAGATCACTTGGATGTCTCGGCTGCCGCGCCCGTGAAACGGCCTGGGTCACTGCACGCAGCAAACGGAGCTCTTCCTGACGAAACAAGGTGTTTGATCTGAAACAGTGGGCTCAAAAGCATCACACATAACGTCCAATGAGTCCAATGTCTCTATTTTCGTTTCTTGATCACAGGCCCTTCAATCCACTCCAACACACATCTAGTCCTGCCGCTTTGGTCAGGGATGGGCGGCCCTGACCAGTCTTCCACATCTACCATGACCTGCGACGCAGTGTGCATGCGAGCCAAGCTCACCACCGAAACTCAACCTAAAGCCCAGCACACGAGGCATCTGGTTGTGTGAAATGCGACATTACGAGGCGCCTGACGAGCAAAGAGCTTTCGCTGTGAAAGGATTCTGGGTTTCAGCACGTTGTTTCTGGCCCGGCAGGCTCAACTAGCCTGGCTTCCGATACTCTTCCGACAGATCGGCGCGCCCAAATGTGCCTCGAACTGAGCGAAGACCGGACGATGGTCGGAGCATTGCAGGAAGGGTACCTGCACTCTGCATTGCAGTGCATTGCCTCTGGAGCTTTGCAGGGCTACTTGCAATTGCCACGCATAAGTACTTCTGTTGATGACCGCGGGTCACAGAGTCGTAAGCCAGAGACTTGATATGAGGATCCCGACGCCACAAAATCCGGTCCTGTCGCTCGAATCTGCTAGCACGTGTCGGCCGGTGCCCAGGGACATGGTGCGACCCAGGGAAGCCGCATCCCAAGTCAGAATGTCTGTCCGTCCAACTCGGTACCCGCTGCTTCTTCGAAGAGTCGTAGATATCCTCACGATGAATCTGCTGCAACCACACTCCTGGCTGAGAGACTAAGAATTAAAACAAAAGGCAATCAGAGGCTCAGGTTCATGCCGAGTGCTTGTCGAACTTGTAGGTGGGCGGAAAGTTGATCTCTGCCTGCACACAGAGTAGGCCAAGACATACTCTGACACTCGGAGTTCTACAAACGTCTTCACTGCACTCTCTCCTGAGCATTCTCTCATAAGTGCTCCAACATCTGACTCTTGAACCATCTTTTGCATGATCTTGAAGCCTCCTCAAAGTCTGGCCAGAAACCAGCAGAACCACTGCCTTCCCAAAGAGAGGGCTCGAGCTTGGGGGCTTTCCAGGGCACTTTGGGAGCAGATTGCGAGTTCACGGATTTCACGTGAATTCGATCCACATCGGCTTCATGTCGGAGACCCCTTGAACCCTAAGCCTTGCACGTACCCATGTGACGGTCCGACGCTGTATCTTTCAGTGCCTGGATCGCCCTTCAACAGAGGTAGGAGCTGGTCTTTCGCCAGGCACTTGTCAAACTGCCTCAGCATGGTGCCATGCAGTGACATACAGTGCCCCAGGGCCTTTTGGCTCTGGAGCGAAGCTCGAAACCCAAGGTCGACACTTCTCCATGATCCACTCGTCCACTTGGGCACGGCTGGCATCGACACGTGTGTTCAGATCGCCCTGCCAACACTCCAGCATCTTCGACCGTTTCAATCGAATGAAGATACATGAAGATCTGAGGGCTGGTGGATGCAACTTCACTCTGAGGGTCTTAGCATGCAGATGACGCAAGCAAGACAGTTTCTCTGGAGGTGAACTCAAGAGATGTTGCAACCCGGGCCATCACGAACACGCGGTCGTATTCCTCGTGGACGCCTTTCAGGTCCTGGAGTCGCACTCAACTTTGCGGCGCCTGGATGCCACGGACCGGGTCACTTAGACTCCTTCCGGCTGCGCAGCGGCGAGTCGGCGAGGATGCGGTGCAGGTTCTGCGTCCGCTCCTGTGGGTGTAGGACCCAGGAGTACCAATCCCACATGAATCTCATCGCAGCATGTCGAACCTTCATCTTGTTCGCATGCGCCGCAAGATGGGCATTCACAAAAAGCATGGTGGTGTTCCCCACGCGGAAAGACACCTTCGCAGTTCTGGCAAAGTCTGCACTCTCAGGTACCTCAGGTCCGATGTGGCAACCTATCTCTCAATGTGTCTCTGGGCTGGATGACTCGAAAGAGCAGGCACAAGGCGGACTTTTTTCTCCCCAGGATCAGCCAAGAGCTCCTCAGCTGACCTCGGCGCAAGTCTCCTTTTTTCTACAAACACTGAGCATCGTTACCGGAGTCACTAACCACACAACCCTACTCTCAGACGTAAAGCTGTCGGAAGGAAGTCTGCGAAGTTGTGTATGCTCGAGGCTTCAGACTTCGACGTTGAGCCATAAATCCCTCTCGACATCCTCACATGGGGAACGTTAAGGACTGCTAGTACACAGCCAACTTCAACCTCACATCTTGCGGAAGCCCATTGCCAGCCATGGAGCTGGTTGGCCGGGGCCGCCTGTTTCAATGCACCCGTGACTGGGGATGCATATGGGCACAAGCCAACAGAACCTAACTAAACAAGCAGCACAGAACAATGAACGCTGCTGCAGTAGCGCTGAAGTCAAAAGCCGCGAACAAGCAAACACACCTTCTAAACATCAACCAAAAGCAGTCCGAAACAAAGCAAACCAGACAAAATGTCAACAAAAAGGGAGGAGGATTATCTGCCAAATTCTTCGGGGGTGGCACTGCGGCATTCTCTGCGGAGAAGGCACTCCAGGCATGCTCTGCGGGATTCTGTAGGGGCCCAGGGGTACATGGGCTACTCTGTGGGATTCTGGGGTGGGCCCTTAACCGGGATGCCAGAACTCTGGGGGATTCTTGCCGGATGTGAGAGTAGGAAAGCTGCCAGCTGACGATGAGGAGGTGTGCAGGGGGACACAAAGCCAGGCCCCTTTGTTCGAACAGATAACTAGCTTCCAACACCCGGGTTCGCAGCGGGCAGCCTTGGCCTTGGCCGGCATGCGCCGCACCTGAGCTTCGTGGTCGCTAGTCTCAAAACCTCTCTGAGTGCAACCCGCTGCCTGGTGTCCAACTGCACCCGGATCCAGGTCTGAGCAGGTTGCAAAACGTATCAACCAGTATACTAAACAGAAGCCACAGTGGAGCACTCCCCCACCTGAGTCGCTGCTGGTCGTCATGTCTGCCCAGCGCTTTCGTGGCTTCATTGCAGCCGCCTCGCTCGGGGCACAGGACGTCACGATCTCACTGGGAATCAGTGTCTCGCTCCCACGTGCCTGCCAGCTGCTCATCGCAGCACCTCCCCCAGAACCTGCCGCAGCACCTCCCGCATCTGCATCGCTGCTCTCCTCCGATGGCATTCGGCAAACGGCAGCATCGAGAATACTCGCTGAAGGCGACGGCCTCGTTGCTTTCGGAGAGATCCTCCTCGTTTCGACGAAATGCGAAAAGCGAGACGTGGGGGCACCACACTTTCTGATATATGCTGTTATGCCTGCAGCAGCACTCTAACATGCACTGAACTCTTCTCACATCTCTACCTCAAAATGCTGAAGGCCTTGGCTCAGCAGCCCGAGCAGCCCGAGCTCAAGAGGGCTTTATTGAACTTTATTGATTATTGGCAAGGGCTTCGTGCCAAAGTATGGATTCTTCAGGATTTCCGTACAATTCGGCGCCGAGCGAGGCCCCTCTCCTCGCGGAACTCGTTGCTGCTACGGTGGCGAACGTCGAGATCTGAGTCGCTGCCTGAGCCAGCGTCTGATTCCCTCAGGCTCTGACAGCAGAAAAGGCCAGGGATGGCCAGCAAGGCTTCCCGATGCTGGTGCCGACAAGGCACTGATCTCATGCCACTTCTTGCCCAGATGACTGGTGCGCATCGAGGGAACCTCGTCTGCCAACTCGTCCAGCTCCTCACGTCGAAACCATGTCAGGCACACTCCCACACAATTCTTAAATCACATTCGTCTCCGCGACATGCCTCAACCACCCTTATCCCCACGCTCCTGGCGCAAGTCCTCTAGCTCCCCGCGGCGGTGGGCACGCAGGAGGCCTGTGTCAGTTGCCAAACGATGTCTGCCCTTCTTATCCCGCAGGAGCTGGCGGGCCTTTGCGGACTCGGGTGCGGATGCTCTCCGCCTTGAAAATTCAGTACTTCTCTTAAGTTGCAGAAAGTGGCATGGGGCGAGACACGGGCGAGACATGGGCGAGATGGCGAGACTGTGGCGAGACTAGAGGTCATGCCCCGGCTCCGGCATTCCCAGCCTGCGTCTCCAGAACCTCGGTCATCTCGCCAACTAGTCGCTCCAACTCGCCAGAGCGCATGGCGTTCACCACCCCGCGCCGCATTCGTGCAGAGATCTCGCGGAACTGGGCGGCTTTCGCCTCAAACTTCCGCTGAGCAGACTCCATCTCCTCGGCCAAGAATTGGAGCTCCCCCGAGCGCTTCATCTCGAGCAAGCTCTGGAGAGCACGCTGCTTAGCCGAGCGGCGCTCCTCAAACATGCAGAGAGTAGAGAGCAGCCGTAAAAAAAACATGCGCGATGAGATGTTCGATATGATGCGGATCTTCGCTGTGCGATGCTTCCGAGCCACGGTCTCGGCCTTGCGCGATGCCGCACCCGAGCCGGCACCCACTTGCGACTCGCTGCCGCGCCGCATCTCCTGCAAAGCGCAAGTCACAACATCCCACAACTCCAGGAGGGTCACACACACGTGTGCAGGCAGACAATCACATACAATCACACAGAGCCACATACACACAGCACTCGCTGGACGTGCAAAAAGCTATAGAAAACTGGACCCATCTTGAGATCAAATCTCCTCTGCCAGGTCTTCGAGCTTCCCAGCCCGCTTCATGCGAAGCAAGCTCTCGAGGGCGCGCTCCTTCAGCCGCTGGAAGTCGTCTGCCTGCCGTTCCACCTCTCCAGGCATCTCTACAAGTCACCGTCGAAGAAACGGATCGGCACAGGAAGAGAGGACGCTCCGAGGGCTCCGAGGGCTCCGCGAGCCTCCTGCGCCAGGTCACCTGCCACCATGTGCAGCTCGCCAGTTCGGTGCGCCGTGAGCATGGCAGCTTTGAACTTCTCCTCCGACGTCCCAAAAACCAAGTACAACAGGCCCGGCTTCAGAAACTTCTCTATAAAGTGTTCCTCTCTTTCTTCTCAAGTCAAAAATCCTTCAGGTTCTGCAGGTCGGATGCGGAGCGCTCCATGTCTTGCTGGTCGCTGCGCAGCTTCTCGAGCAGGGCCTGCAACTTGCCAGTCCTCCGGAGTTCTCTCACCTAACGACTTAGCGACTTAACGACTCTCTTAAACTCTTCTTGAAAGAGGGACACACTTAACAGGACTTAAGCGCGTGAGGGATGGGGTAGATTGCAGGGGGGTTTGTGGGGGCATGCTGGGCCTGTTGGCTTGCAGGAGGCTCCAAAGCGGGGTGCTTCGCTGCACGCCTCCAAGCAAAGGCCCCCCAATGCCCGCAAGGGGCCATGGACATCAAAGGGAGACTTGCCGCATTCCACTGGGGCCGAGACCACGGCTTTGCAACTGCGATTCCTGTTGAGGACAGCCGGTCGCTGTTGCATAGCTTCTTGCATGCACACTTTGGGCCTGGACATCTTGCCGCCAAGCATCCGGCTGCGTCCCATCAGATGAAGGGCGGCCCTGTACGTCATCTGGGCTTGGGAAGGCTTGAGCATCCTTGGGTCGAGGACACATTGTACAGGTCGCATCACAACGACCACATACGACCACGTCAAAGGCATCAGAACACGTCAATGTGTCCAAGGCTCCTCATGAGATCCCGAGCCATCTAAGCCCTCACGACCCGGGGCTGCCCCGGCGTCGCCACCGTCTTCGCTGGGCCGGACTGGCCGCCGCCACGCACGGCCTGAGCCCCACATTTCGGCAACCTCTCGCATCGATCATATTTGGCAGCACACACATTGATCCGGTACTCCAGGGCTGCCCACGGGAGTCTGTGAGTGTGGCCTGGGACGCGCACAGAAGCGGCGAAATCCAACAGCTGTCATGTTACAAGCTACCCAAGCTACGCAAGCTACCCAGTGATGCCGAGGCCTCTGTGCTTGCAGCGTCCGTCTTGCTCTCGAAATCCTTTCGAAGTCCATGAAGCTCTCCTCGCCGATGAGCCCGCAGCAGACCTGTCCCAAGGACGCAGACTACGGACTGCCTGACTGCTTGTGTACACTGCTTGTACTTGTACTTCTTCATCTGCACAATGCTGGCCTTGTCGCAAACGACTGCGGGTTGTCTCCGCCTGCCATGGCATGTCACCGGTCTTAGTCCATGGCTGCCCCCTTTGTGCCCATCTTTCGCACCAATCGCGAAAGACTGCGCGGGCCTGCGGGTCGAGGACCTCCATTTCGCGCAGGAGCCGTCCCAAGTCATCCGCTCGGGCAGAGGCGACTCGCTGCGAAGCCCCTTTCAAGTAGGCCGCTGAGGAGAAGAACTTCGCCTGGGCCAACTCGAGCTCCTGGGGGGCATATGAGAGAGGGCCCCTTACCAAATGGAGAGAGAGAGAGAGCATGGTCTCAATGTCAAGAATCCTGCAGAAGCAGCTGCACTCGCCAAGGTTTCATTTCTTTCGAAACGTCTCCTTCGCTTGTAACATCGACATCGCCTGGAACAGTCCATGTAACTTCACAACAAGACCTTCTTGCAGCACACTCGACGCTGCACACCGCTGCTGCCTTCTGCATCACCCAGAAAGCTGAACCTTGCAGCACTGTATTGACTTCACAATATTTCGAGGAACTGCGGATATTCTTCTAAAGGATGTGTCGAGTATTGTCGAGTCCACATGTGAGCACGTCAAGGGGGCATAACACCTCCTTGTGCCGGGCGCTGAGGACTCGAGACAGTATCATTTCCCACGCATTTTGGGGTCCAGTACCATCCAGAGGAGCACTTAACTGAAGTTGCGACTGCATCGGACTGCTCGAATGCAGATACTATGAGGCTATGCATTCATTGGCTTCGAAGTGCCCCATCATGGACGACGAGCTCGGGATGCTTCACTTCTGAGCCAGGAGCGTTCGCAAAGACTCGCTGCGCTCCTGCAAGATTTGTCACGTTAGTACATTTCCTTGCAGGCTTCGCCGTGACTCGTGATATGCATCCATGTGTGCCTTCCCGCGCTTTAGACGTGCAGTCTCGATGCGCTCGATGAGGTGCTTGAAGCTGCGTTCGTGGGCATCGACCTGACCGATTCAAGACCAGCGCTCTCCCACAACACAGGTGAGCTTGCAGAAATTTGTAGCAACTTGTAGAGCAAGGTACAAACCGAATCGCACAGATCCTTGCTCTGCCTCTGCAGCAACGTCTCTGCCGGAGGCTTGTAGATGCTCCAGGTCTGTGGTCTTCGCATGTACTGCATTCACCATGGCAGTCTTCAGCGTCTCCTCCACCAAGCACAATGCCGAGCCGCCCGGTGATCCATGATGATGATGATGATGATGATGATGATGATGATGATGATGATGATGATGACGATGATGATGATGATGATGATGAGGATGATGATGACGATGTTACGGCATATGCGGCAATAGCATGCTGTCCGGGATCCTCAGAACCCGCCTGCGCTGCCTACAGCAGAGCCGGAGTCCCCAGAACATCACAAGGCTTTAGTGACCAACTCGCAACGGCGTGGAGGCTTCCCACACTGGCCGTCCTTCAGAGCCGACATGTCTGCATTCGCACGACGTATCTCCTGCAGGCCACAGCCAAGCATGAGATTCCCCTCACAGCGTGTGTGTCTCTGTGATTGAATTAATCATGGAGCTTCGTGTGGTCTCGGGTGTTTGCTTGGATTTGTTTGGCACCTGTTCGGAAGCGCCGGCAGCCTTGCCTCGAGTATCTGCCGCTCTTCGCGGTTGACGCTTCGGCGCCGCCATCGCTTGGAGCGTTGCTTCCGAAGGGGGCTTCCTGGCGGGGGCGAGCATCCAGCTGAATAGTGAATAGTATACTCCGGCCAACAAAACTCGCTGGAGGCAGCAGCGCCAAGGGCCTTCATCGTCGTCATCCGCATCCATCGCCCCCTCTGCGTGGTCGTCGATTTTCTCGGAGCTCGAAGACCGGCTGAAGATCTGATGCATGATCCCTTAGTCCGGCTTCATCTTCAGAAAGCCAGAAAGCCGTACGAATGCACAGTGCCATTCACAGTGCCATTCGGGAACTGTCCCCCAAGGGCTCGACTCGGGGCCTCCAAGCCGGGAGGCAGCCAGGGCTCCTAAAGCAATGCGATGCAAACCATCAGACACTTGCCATATCTTGCCATCGCTGTGTCAAACTTAGGTGTGTTAAGGCAGCTCGATTTTCGGAATCCTTGGGCTGAACACCAGCAGTGCCAAGTCCGGGTCCTCCCGCGCCAGGGAGTCGGGGGCCAATCCTGCGCTCATCAAGTTGGGGACATGGCTGTAGCAAGGCAAGTCAGCCAGGGGCGACACCCTTCCCAGGAGCCGACAAAGGCGTCTCCTTCACCAAGCAGCAACCCTGCTCTGAAAGAGGCCCTACTGGGATTTGGGATTGCACAGCCTGGTGGTCGGCTTCCCACTTGCGCTCGAGCTGCGCGAGCATCATCTCGACCTCGCCCGAGGGGGGGGGAGATCGACGTTGATACTTCTTGTGCTGAAGAAGCGCTGTGCCTTGCTCGCACACTCGTCCGCCGGAGGCGAAGAGTGGCCCTTGACGAAGTGAGCTATTGATACAAGTAGCAAATGCTCATGCCATGCCGGATGGACGGCGGCTTGCGTTGAGATCGCCTCTTATTGACTGACACTGTTGGCGGGGGCCTTCCCTGAAACCACGTCCTGAAATCGTCTCACCACTTACAGGCGAGTTAAAACCAGGCCAGCTAAAACTGAAACAGCAACCAGCGATCTCACCGAGCAGCTTCGCGCATGTCCCACAGCTTTGCTGCACGATCGAGCGTTCGGCATCGAAGTAGAGCCTCGAACCTGCACGAACTCTTCGACCAGACGATGAATCGTGCCACTGAGCAAGGCGCCGAACGCATCCCAGTCAGCCTTGCCTTTGGAACAAGGTCTTCGGCTCTTCGGGAACAAACATCCCATCAAGGACGCCTGCGAGAGGTGGGCTCAAGTCTCCTTACAAGAACTGTCAGCAAATGCCACCGACGCACCAAAAACATAATAGAAAAAACTTGGACCCTGGCAGCCACCAATGTCTACCCGACGAGGGCGGCCATCGTAGCCGCATCGAAGGAACACAGCCTTCACCTGAGTGAGTCCCATGGCAACGTGGAAAGAGTACCCCTCCACAAAAACATGCAAAATCGGAAGAGAGTGGCACAAGATGCGCAGATCTTCGTGAAATCTGGGGAGATATGACAGCCTGAAGCTTAAGGGATGTAGTGAGAAGTGAGCTTTCAACTCGTCTTTCTTCCCTTAGCCGAGGGCGCCCACTCCAGCCGAAAAGCGCCTCCCGCTGCCCGCTTGCCGGGTAGCGGCTGCATCGCCTGGTCGTAGAGCAGCGGCGCACCGAAACCTTACGATGCAGCACATTTTCTGCCGAATGCATTCAATACGGCACTCTGCATGCTCTCAGCTCGGGTCACAAAAAAGACTCTCTGAGGTTTCGGACCCCAGCCATCTTGGACTTCAAAGACTTCTAGGAGCTGACCTTCATCGACCTCGTGATAACCAGGCACGGCCCAAAGGACACCAGCCATGTACAGCACTGGACATGTGTTTGGGGGCCTTTGCCAGGAGCGCCGACAGCTCTTGCTGGTAATCTCCGCACAGATCTGCCTTGGAACGTGATGCCGCAATGCTGCAGCACCAGATTGAACCAAAGACCGGCAAGGACCAGCAATCAACAACGCAGCTGCAGGTCAAGTTGCCTGTATTCTTTTGAATTCTGGTCCAGCACATACGAACTGGCGTCCGGACGCAGGAAGAACGAGGTCATCCTCAATGACTCAATGGTCTATCGGAGATGTGGGGTTCGATGCCTTGGAAACACCTTTTGAAACGAAGGCCTGGAAGCCCAGGCGCGACATCACATTGCGAGTGACTTGCACGCTCTGGTTGGGTAGAAGCACTTCTTAGCTGCTAAGCACCGAACACCTACAACACTTTACAAGACCTTCTCGCACTTAGCAGAAGGAAGTGTAGGCGCCGCTCAATGTCCATGTAGAGATCTGCATCTAATGCCCCTACAAGAATGGGTGCTTGCGTCTTCTATGCTTTGAGCCAAGCACGTCAGCTTGAGCTCAAAGCTTGGCTGGAAGCAGGGACCCGCCAAGACCCATGATTCGCCCTGCTGCACTCCGGAATTTGGGCCTGGGTGCCACCCTTGTTGCCAACCAGGTTGGCAAAGCCTGTCGCAACCTGTGTACTGCAAGGGCAGCGCCACCAAGTAGCACCTTCTTTGTCAACAAAACTGCTTGGGCAGCACCGTGCCTGACAGGTTCGCGCTTCCCAGCAGTATCTCCACAGGGACCGATGGATGAAGACCATGACGTGAATAGCACCTTGGAAAGGTCAGGTCCAGACGCATCTCGTAGTCGAAGGAAATCCCTTGTCTGTTCTAAGCATTGCAAGTTGGGCTCACCGCTCATATTGTGCGATCCGATCATTCGAAAGTCCTCACACAGCCATAAATCTCAACACCGATGCCATAAATACTGGTAATGGCATGCTGGAAACATCTAGCCAAGTCTGCATCAGCTGCGAGCGCACTTGCTATCCCTACGAGGCACTCCGGGTCCTCACCGAGGTGGCGGCACATCTGGCTCTCCCACCTCGCCTGGGCCAACCGACACGCACAGGCTGTGATCTGCCACATGGTTTCTGTCAAATACTGTTATATATATATATATATGTGTGTGTGTGATATATATATATATATATATATATTTTTTTGTTGTAAGTGTGTAACTGTCTCTATTGCATAGATTCGCAAAGGCCTTGCTGGACCATATGAGCGACTTCTCGATTGTTCGCTCGCACTCGCAGGTGCCGACGACATAAATGTGGTGCCTGCAGCAGGTTGAGCGGACTCGGAAGTTCGGAGGCGCGCCTTGCGCCTCCTTCCTTGCACCGTTCCACGCATCTGACGACTTGTTTACATCCTTCGGCCTTGGGGATGTAGGCACCCACTGGTTCAAGTTCGCTGGAGCCTGGCTCAGCTGCGATTCTGCTGGCACTCTGCCTGTGCGTCATAGCGCGGCCGTTGTTCCCAAAGCTGACCTGCCTTCTTGCCGTGCAAATTCCAGACTCCACAGAAGAGGCGGACTGCCTCGTGTCGACTGGAGTCTTCCATGAACGGAGCACGTTCCCGAGCTAACAGCCTGCTTGCTGCCACCGCCGAGCGAGGCTACTTCGGCCTCATCCAGCATTCCAAACTCCAAAGAATACCCTTTCCAAACCAAAGTCGGGAGAATCCCCCGAATCCCCCGCCTCTTCCCAGCGATGGAAGGCTGTCTTGCTGCTTGGAGAGGCAGGAGAGGTGGGCTCCTCAAGACGAAACCAGGCTGTCGCAATCCTTCCCGGTGCTTTCCGACTCTGAGCTTGGGGCAGGGATCGCCACAGGGCTCTCTCCTTCAAATCAACAAAGACAACGGCACAAATCCCGGTTGCTTCAAGGATGTTTCAAAGCCAGGGGGCCTTCAGACGGCGGGGAGGCATCTTCCACCTCACTGCCCGGAGAGGCTGCCTCATCGGATCATGGATGGTAGAGACGAGCGCCCACGGAACGTTGCGCTATCACGCTTCGCCTGGCCGATGGCGCCCGGCGGAAGCTCCTTGACAATCGTGCACCAAACAATGCAAGGCCATGCAGGATATTGTAGCATCATCAGCAAGCAGGGCTCATTGTGCAGTCCTGCATGGCCTTTCTGTCAGGCGACTGCTGCCGGGGCCTTGAAGCCTCCACGTGCACCTGGGGATCACATCTTGGGATCACATGCGAATTGCGTTGGGAATCGCCCTTCGCCGAACCTCCCGCGCTTTCTCCCCAGCGTCTTCCAGCTCAGCCTGAGCCCGGGCTCCGCTACAAACACGACCCTTTTGGCACGCCAGTTTTTGGGACTTTAGTGACTCGGACAGTAGGCACAGTTGGGCGAAAACACCGAGGAGGCCTGGGTTTGCCGATCCGGAGGTGTCTCGTCTGGCTGCGCCTGGCTTGGATACACGGCTTCTGGTTATCAACAGAAATGAACAACAGTTCTTCCGCTCTCAGACTTCACCTGAACGACGTAGTCATACTGCGGAGGCTGAGTTTCCCCAGCCGCGGGAGCCGGCGCCTGTGGCAGAGTTCTCCATCCAGGTACACTGATCCTTAGGTCCTTGGCTTCATGTCAGAGCTTTGGCAGCGCTTTCGCACCTTTCGCGTCTTGTCCCGGACAGACTCCAAGCTGGGAGACCTGAGAAGGCCGAGTCATGCTGAGGTGGACGTATGCTTCAGTCTTGGTAACAGCGACGTGGAGCAACTCTGATGTCAGTGAATGTATGTAACCCACATTACGTACGTATAACATACAGCTATGCAACTATACGATTTGTATTTTTACTGGGTCGCGCGTGCTTTCGCCGAATGGCCTCTGAGATGCATCGTCATGGTCGTGCTCTGTGATCCACCCTGACGGCACCTTCGCTGCACACCAAAGGCACTTCGCTCAAGCAAGCTGTATGTCCAGCCTCATCATCAACATAGACAGCATGCTCCTCCTGCGAGCCAAACAAAGTGGAACTCGCGTACCACTACACGCGGCCACTTTCAAGAACCCACTGCAGTAAGTCTGCACGAAGATGTTGGGATCCCAATCACACAGCGAGATACAGCAAGATGAAAACACAGCAGCTCAAGGAGTCCACCTGCGCGCCCGGCAATGCAGACTTCACCTGCCATCTCTCAACCACACGGGGGCCCCGGGCTTTCGTATGCAACCGCACAACAACGGGATAAACAAATGGGATAACGTAGACCCACTTCCGTCCCACCTCAGAGCTCTCTATGACAGGCTGAGCCACGGCCGCTGCGGCCATACGCCGGACGCCGGCCTATACCAGGCTCCCCAATTTTTAACACGTGCTCTTCTGGGCTTGGCAAGTCGCGCATCACGAGATTCCGGCCTCCTCCAAACTACAATCCAGGCTCACATGAGGGCATTCTGGCTAAACGTGCTGCACTCTTATCCTTCAGTGTCAATATCTACCGGAACCACAAGTCAACGAGTGTGCTAACATGACTTGAAAAGAAAAAGTGAATCATTTGTTGGTACGTCGTGTCTGCACTTCTGCTCAGCTAGTCTCTGGGCTGAGGGGGGGTGGCTTGTGCCTGGTCACCTTCATGGAACCCGGCCGTTTCTCGGCGGCGAAAGCTACGGACGACGGTGCCCAAGTTTCGTCGGCACTGCAATCCAATCCAGTACTGAATGCAACAGAAGAGATCAAGCAAAAGCGTCATGCGGCGATACTTGTCGTGAAGCAAGCTTCCACATCATGGTCCACATCTTGCACTTCTGGCAGTGGCTAGCAGCCGGTGCTACAGGGGCTGTCTTCACCCCATGTGGCAGGGTGCAATGCCTAGGTCCTAGATGACTGCTTGTTGCTTATGGGATCCGTTCATGTACGCTGCACCTTTGCCCTCTACCGTATGGCACGATGCATTCCAATGAATTGAGCATTGGGCCTGTCGGGGCCAGAACTTTGCATAGGCTCAGATACCGTTCTTCTCCACCACTACGGCCGAAATACCGTACTGAAGCCATCCTCACATGCCTGCGTCAGAGACTGAGAGGAGCCCTGTCCGCTGCGAATGGTGCAACCACGCCTTCGTGCTGAATCCAGAAGCATGCTGGCACTGTTGGCTTCATTCGATGGGATAAGTATGTTTTGGTTACATTTCTTTTTGGGGAGCGGAGGGAGCTGGGGGAAGCGGAGGGAGGGGGGACGGGGGTGTGGAGGGGGTTTGTGAGGGTCAGCAGCGGATTCTGAAACTGAAAACGCGCAGATTCGGAAACTGGAAAACCTGATTCGTAACTCGAAAAAGCCTGACTCGGAAACCAGCTGATTCAGGAAACTGAGCGCGCGGATTCGGAAACCAGCTGATTCAGCACACTGAAGCGCCCGGATTCGGAAACCAGCTGATTCAGGAAACTGGAGCGCACGGACATGAACGCTCTCATCCCCCTCCAACGCCCCCTCCCACCCCCCCCACCCTCGCAGTTTCCTGAATCGCACGTTTTCAGTTTCCTGAATCCTGCTGAATCCTGGTTTCCCGCATCACATCGCATAGTTTCCTGAATCCTGATTTCCTGAATCGCGGGGCTGGTTTCCTGAATCCTGGTTTCCCGAATCGCGTCCAGTTCTGAATCGCGCTAGGACCGTCTGTGATGAATGCCCTCGATTTCTGCACCTTTTTAGGATTCGCTCACATCACGCAGTTCAGGTTCCAAGCGAAACACAAGCGACATACAAACGAGTTCGCCCTTACCCTGGTGCCCTTGCCGTCGTCGTGACCGTCCTGGCTTACCTTTCTGAAGCACAAGTGTCGTCTGGACCTTCTTCTTGCACAGAAGGGGGTACAGTAGGCATCATCAGCATCATCAGGGGTGCGTTTGGGCATCAATGAGAATCGCGTCCCAATCCAGGCCCGCGTCTTGAGCATCAACAGTTGAGCAGCATGGGGTCGAATGCAGGCGATGCGCTCTCTTAAGGTTGGGTCGGTTAAGTGGAGCGTTCAGGGCCAATCCTTAATTCTGTGCAGCACTTAGGCCTGGCACCGCACATGCTGAAACGCCCACGCCTTCGAGAGCTAGTCAATCTTGATTGAGCCATAGATACCCTTGACGAACTGGAACGTGCTCAAGAATCCTCAGCTGCCCCACATCGAAAGAAATGCTGCCCATCCACGAGTGTGCATACACAGAGCTCTCAGCCCAACACCCACCGCGCCACTCACGAGCGCAAAGATGCTGGACATGATGCCCATGTACCTGCAGCGATGCATCTTGTGAGCACAACAAAATAATCCCTACCTTTCGCCGGGCCCTGATGTCGGCAGACGCCGCTTCATGCCCAAACCGTGTTCACAGAAGAGCCAGTGGTGGAGGGGATGCCCGTGAGCCAAGGCTACAAAAGTCGACCAAGGTGCCCAAAGTACATCAGGATGGAGACCCAGTGCCGAATCTGTAGGCGTGAGTTGAAGTACCTGGCAGGCTTTCAGTGTGCAGTTAGGACAGTGGCGCATGTGAAATCACCGTGCGAGAGCGTGCATGATGGAATAAAGGAAGACGTATAGTCCAGAGCTGCCACTCGCTGCAAAGGCAGTCCACCACCACCGGTAATCCTGTCAGACAGAGCTCGCGCAGGCCCCGAATTCGGCAATCGGACTCCTTAAAAATCGGCCTCAGAGGTGAGCTGGAAGTACGTCAGGGCTATGGAAATCTCAGCACACGTCACCATGACGATGAGGAGCACCAGGGCCAGAAAGCCGAACAAGTAATAGAACCTTCAACATGGCTCAACATGGCTCAACATGGCGCATCCGAAAACCGAAAAGAAGCCCTTGCAGTAGACAAGTCTAGACAAGTGGTACATCACCCTCCGGCTCAGGGGCACACTCATGCAGCCAGATCGAAGACATGATAAAAAAGAGCTCTGTGAACCTTGAGGCCAGGATACACTGACATTTCCCCTCGCGTGGCAGAGGCGTGCTCTGAGCTGCTGGCACAGCACCGAAGGGAAGGATGCCACCCACAAGCGACGTGGCCAAAGGCTGCATGTACCACGGCCTTGGGGTTCGGGGGCAACTCGGGGCCTGGGAGATGGGTTCTGGCATTTAGTGTTTGGTGAGTTGCGTATGTTGCTTGTGTTTCCCTTTTGCCTGTAATTTCTCACCCACAATTCTGATCCCTTTGGCTCTCTCTGAGGCCCAGGCTGTTCTGGTATCGCACGTGGAATCTGCAACGGTGAAGACGATTGAAAAAACACACCCCGAAAACACTGTGTTTGTTCCAACAACCACCAGATCATGCTTTGACTGTCAGATGTGCAACATTCTGGGTGCAAGCGCTTGCAGACTCGCCTGGTTCGTCCGAACTGGCAGCTCTATTCGGTCTCTCTTGAATCCTGGCGCTCCAAGTGCTTCACAAGGCCACAAAAGCCAACCAAACTGCCTTCCAACAACAGATATTTTGGGCGATGTGCATCTAAAAATCGTCACGCTGTGGCTTGGGCAGCTTGGAGCCTGTGTAGGCGCCGAAGAAAACGAGCGGCACGGACACTCCAAACCTTCGGTGCTCTCCAGACTTCAGGGATTCGTGTGGGGTTCTGCTAAAGGATTCGAAGTGCTATGCTCGCTGAGAGGCCACAGCACCAGGATGGCGAACAAGGTCGTGAAGGCCACAGCACCGGAAGACTGCAGGGGCACTTGGAAGCTCTTCGGTTTTCGGGACAGCTGTCCTGATATTTCACCTTTCTATGCTTGTCTCTGCTCTGCACTACTTTGCAACGGCAATTTCGAATGGGTTCATCCTCGATCTTCTGGGGCGCTACTCAACCTCAGCCAGTTCATGCCGCATCAAGCCACGGAGCTCCTGCCTACAGGGCCTACGGTATACGCTGATTCCCCAGTTCATTCCAGACAGCAGCGTTCGCTCACGACTGCTCAAGTTGGGGGCTACCCCAAACAGACGACAGCGCAGCGCGGAAGATGGGCAGAGAACGCCTTCTCGCCCCAAATGCAGAGATTCAAAACGAAGAAGACGATGAAGAAGAGGCCTGGTACCAATAACAAGCACAATGGAACTGATTTTGTGGAAAGTGAAAACGCGAGATGGGCACGCCTGGAAACAGAAAAGCCTGCATGAAGGTGGTCAGCTTCCAGCGACCCTCATCTCCATCGAACACCTGAAGATATTCTGAGAAGCACAGAGAGCTGAGGAGACGCGCATCACAACTGATCTCTCACGCCCTGCCTTGCACAGGCGCGCCGAGGTGTAGCCACCAAGCACGCCCATCAAGGTGAAGAGCAGCATCATAGACTGAAGCAAGCCTCAAGGGGGCGAACATCCGTCCCCCCCAAAAGGCTTTTCGAGGCAACAGTCCAAGGCGGCAGCTTCCACGGTGCGCGGGCGAGAGGAAACCCAAGAGTGCAAAGATGATTGTCACCTCTCCACTTCTGGCGGGTAGCTTTTTTATTCACACTGAAGAGATCTGCAGCACCTTGAAACTAACACTTGGCTAACACTGAGGGGAGCACGACGGACATACCCAGCAGCTGCATGCCGGAGCCCGTGACGACACAAAGTAGGGTGGAGTACTGCGGCTTGCGGAAAACGTCCCCATGCACAAGCTTCCAACCTGCCGTCTCAAGAAGAAATGCTGCAAGAAAAAAAGCGGCACAAGGAAAAGGCCACTAAGGGAGTAGCTGAACCGTAGCAAACAGACACAAGAACACTCCTGGGCGGCTACAGGTTTGTGCCTGTCTCTTCCTTCGCCTCCTCTTCGGTGGGCACCTTCCAAGCGACAGCTGTGCTAACTCAGAGCTGTCCTGGCTGCAGCCTTAGGGCCTATGCGGCCTACACACGTGTGCGGAAGCGAGTAGGTCCTACAGCCACGATGCCCAACCTGATTGTATGTCGCGATGTCCCTATGCAGGGTGCGCAGGAGGATCATGGCGACCATTCCCGACCTAAGTCAGCGAAAACTTTCGGCTCTTCAAGAAGCGAACCCCTGGCTCCAGATGGCGCCAGCTCAGATGCAGGCAAGAAGAGGAGAATCATCAGGGAGTTCAGAATCGCAAACCAATGGATCTGGCCCTGCCCTTGCCTCGGAGCAACATGCAACCTGCTCTTCCGCAGTTGCGGCTCGAATGGGAAAGAGAGTCCTTGTCCACGGCCGATGCTGCTGAAAGAGAATTCTGCAAGGGAATGACTCTGGAACGGCAAGACTGGGCCGACTGCACTTTGAGGTACGCATCCCAGCGAGATGCCCATCCTTCGTTCTGCGCAAGCGATGTTGCTGAAAGAAGAAACGTGATGTCACGACGAAGTGCAGACAATATCACAAAGTGCACAAAGAGTGACTCACGACCAAGGCTTGAGATCTGGACTAACAGGGCTCTCCGTCCAGTGCACAGAGTAGCTGAACCTGCTTGGCCAAGGAAAGGCAGCGTATGCAACTGGACGTCAATCGGTGAAGTCGAAACAGGATTGCGCTTGGAAGTTTCGAATTTTGGAATAACTGAGGCAATGACACCACATCGTCTGAGGAATCCAAGTCAAACGCGACCGCGCTGGTCGAGCAATCTGGCTCTCCACCCTTCCTGTCATCAACAAATGCGCAGCTCGCGAGTACTCGCGAGTCGTGTACGCACTCTACACACGGCACAGAGGGCAGAGTAGAACCAAAACCGAACATTAACATCAGCAATTTTCCATTCGATCTCAGCAATGCGAAAAGCACCGGCTGGCAGCACGGTGTGGAAGACCGTGGTTCAACCTGCACAGCACAGGGGGACTCTGGACCCTAGGCATACGAAAAGCATTCGGATGATCTAATCTGCTAAGTAGGAGCTACACAGCGTTCGTGCTGGTGAGCAGGTGCCTGGAAGCCGACGATTCGGAAACCCTCGTACTTTTCTGGATTCGAGTGGTACTCCAAGTCCTGGAATGGGGCGCGTCTGTTGCGATGCACGTGCAGACATATGACAGCACGAGCCCGTCCAGACTCACATGATTGTGCAAGTAGTACTTGCCCTTCTGCGCAATGCCCAGTAGGAACCCGTTCATGTACGCAAAATCAGAGCCTGATGGCCGAAGCATGAACACAGGTCTAACTGTCCAACCTTCGCTGGAACACAAGCAAGATGTCTGGCTCCCACTGCCTGTCTGACTGTACTTGGTGGCGGCTGGAAGGTTGTCAACCATCCAGTTCACCAGGTACTCGTCGGCTATCATGTTCCGGAACTTGTCCTGCCAAAAATGATTGCCATGCAACTTAACCACTAACGCGAGGCCGCCTCGTCAAGGGCCGAGAGAACGGGGGAGGGGCAGGGGGTCGGGGGCAAGGAGGGAGGGGGGCGTATCGAGGGGTAAGGGGGGGTGGGTGGGGCCAACAGATTTTCACATCCGCCCACTATGGCGAGCGGCTAGCCCAAACGGCACGTCGTCCGCGTCTGGACGAACCCATTCCGAGCCAAAAAAACAAACTGGGAGCTACGGAGCCCTCCAGAAAGCTCCAGACCCAGTCCTTCTCCTGCTTGGTTAGAGTCTTTGAACAAAGTTTCTCACAGGTCTTCTCTTCCATGAACTTGATCTTGTATGCCGATGTCCTTGGGGTGGCCCAACTCTCTTAAGCCCAAACGGCGCTTTGGCGCCTTGGAGGTGTTCAAATGCACAGCCCAGACGCTCAATGACGTCTCCCATCATCTGCTCACCAAGGTTTTCCGTCGTGGCTTTGACACCATCTGCAGGCCTGGCCGAGGACGCTAAGCCACTCAGCCGGCAATGCACCTTTGAACTATCCGTACTGTGATGGCAGTTCAGAATCACTGAGGTCCACACGTGCAGAAAGCCAAGGTGTAGTAGCTGTAAGGGAGCTGTGTCTTTGCCGAAGTCAGCTTGTTTACCTGGCTCATGGCACTCACTGGCTTGCTGTCATGTTTTCATGCTGAAGTGACGGGCCTTCAGCTCCACCACCTCCTCGCTGCTGTATTCCTGTCGAGCAGCTGAACAGCCATATGTCGGGGGTGGGGCGGGGGGTCCCTGGTGTTCGCACTTATAACCAGCCCAGTGGGGGCTTACCCGCGGTGCAAGGCCAGGCAAGTAAAGCGCCACTGCTGCATCGAGTAGCAATGCACCTTAGCCCCACGTCTCACACGTTTGACGTTTTCATCTTGCGAATCACCAACATTGAGGATGCGGCCTAAAAGCACTTTCCGAATCATTGCCTCAAGCGATATGAAATGAGATGCGGCTTGACTGGCGCCAAGAAGTCTGCAACATTACAAGAGTTACACGATGGCCAAGTGATGGAACATGCTCAACCACCGAGAACCCCACAGCACGTAATCGGCTCGACATCGGCGGCGCATCAACTTTCAGGCTAGCTCGATGCAGTCTCAAGAGCCCTGAGCGCCTGCAGGACCTACCCCGGCAGAGATCGCGACCGGTTCACAAAACGAAACATAAATCAGAGAAACCACATTCTGTGCCAGAACTTCACAAGTCATGAACAGATCAACGTGCCCAAACTGGGGCCCAAACCACGATTACAAGCACAAACCTTGCCGCAAAACCCCCCACTGGCTTGGCATGCACACAATCCCTGCCTTAGTCCACAAGTGAAAGTGGGACTGCAAAAAGGACCAAAGCAGACTGAGGGCTCGACCTCTACAAAGACTTGCTACCGCAACAAGGGAGACAAACACAAAAGCTCTCGCACAAGGCGATCAAGGACTGACTGAAAACTTGGCAAGGATCTGCATCTGAAGCTCCCAATTCTGTGGCACCATCCAGGACGACGTGCCCCGAGTGGGAATAGGGATTCGGCTTTGGGCTCAGGGGGTTGAAGGGGGCAGGGTTTGGGGTTTCTTTGGGGTTGAACTTCAGCGGCATGTTTGGTCTTGGGTCCACGCATTTTTTGGCCGTCACAAAGAGGCGCGCTCAGGTTCACGAACTGGCGAGAGCGCAGGCAGCTGGATGCTACAGATGACCATCGCCCAACCAGCGGCTACTCAGTCGTGGCACCAGTGCCAAGACGAGCCAGAAACATGCCGAAACTCCCATGACTGTGTCGAAAGCCGTGTACAATGCTGGGAAAACTGTCAGCTTCGGGAACCTCGGCACCATAAAGGATATCACAGCTCTCGTGGTTTGAGGCAGCTGGACGACGATGGACCCGTAAGGGTTGATTGCCCCACTGAAACCATGGCGGGTGCACTTTATCACTGTCTGACCGTTCTCCAAAGCTGCATATTGGTGACCGTGCAGATGCTGCCGGCCAATGTTGCTCCAGGTCTCGCTGCTTTCCAGGAGCACGTCGGCCGCACTCAGGGCGCGTGTGACTTGAGGAAAGTCAGTGTCAAAGCAGATGGTTCCCGTCACAGAGATGTTTCTCGAGGATGCTCTGCCGACTTTGAGAGACTCAACCACTGACGGCGGGCTGTCGCCTGCTTGGGAGAAAGGAACTCCAGGTTCGTTGGATCTAAGTGTGCAGCATATGATCCTCACGATGAGGCCTCGGCCCCAAAGGCCCTGAACACCAACCACAGATACGAACAGGACACAAAACATGCCTTTTCAATCTGAACCTCTGAAGCGGTCAGCCTTCTGCATTCTTCCGACAATGAAGCATTATCGTGCCCTTAGCTAGCCTCTGGAACACTTCCCCCACCTGGCTTCAGGGAGGATTCGAGGATGGGCACAGGGTGATTCTTGGCGTAGCTCATGACGGTGCCATCCTTCGTTACCAAGTTGTACCACGACCTGGGGTTTCGGGTTTGGGCTTTAGGGGCTCTGAAGTTTTCGGGGTTCGGCTAAACTGCTTTGTCTGACAAAAGTGAGTTGGAGTTCAGGGGCAATTGAGGCTTCTGGGATCTGCACTGCTGCAAGTTCATGGTCTAGGAGGATTCGGTCTCGCGTCCTCCTGTCCTACATTTAAGCCACTTGGGATTCGGCCGAATTTTGCTGTAGAGGAGTCTGTGCTTCCTCGAAGGCCCCCGAAAAACTTTGCAGCAACGAATGGGAGTGGACCTTGCAGATCCTAAGGCTGAGATTCGTCGCTTGGCAAAGCTTTCACTGGAGGCCCTGATGAGCAGTCTTTGGGACAGGTGAGAGAGGATCGAGGCAGAATGTGCTGCATGCAGCTGCATGCAGTGGAGATTACAGCATTACGGCTCGCTGGTGTCTGACTGGGGAGCTGTTGGTTTTTCAACTGCACCATGATATGCTGGGAACACACGCTGCATCATGATTCGGTAGTGCTTGCTGGGAGTTATACACTCTGCCTCAAGTGTGGCATTCAGCCGGATGGACAAACTGTTTTCGGACAACATGGCACCACACTTTAAGGATTCGGCGCCTGTAGCTTGAAAAAAAGGCCCCCATCTGGTTTGGGTCCCCCTGTGCTGGTGGTGCTTGTTGGGCTGCACACTGCGCACCAACCTCAACGCCAAATCGCGTCGATTACCTCCAGCCTGTCGGCATCGCTGCGGTTTGACGGTCTGACAAAGCCTTGAACGTGTTTGCGGGCAACTGCACACCGGGCTTCATGGACTCGGTGCAATGCTGGCAAAACAGGCGCCGAAAGTAGCTGGGCTATGCTGGCGTGCCCTGTGCTGGGGCGCTTGCTGTGGGACAGGGGATGGAGCATTCCAAACTGGCGCCATGCCTCCGCATCCACTGATGGCCTATGATGACGTTTTTCTGAAATCCCATGCGCTTTGGGTGAGCGGGGGACCATGCCTTGCTTTCGTGGTCGTTCGCGGAGTCTTTATGGGTCTCTTTTCATGAAACGTGGTTAGGTTCTGTTCTTGCGAATGATGTTCTAATGAGGAGGCTGAAGATGACTCGCACACCCTCTCATGGCCTCATTTCTCATCATCTTGGCTAGTTGAAGCTTTGTTGGGTCCAAATCGCGCACTCACCTAGGAATGGGTTTGCCGGCAAAGCTCGGGGGCCACCAGACTGTTGGAATCGGCATGACAAATCGCGCTCCCGTCTAGTTACCGTGCATACTTTGTGGCCTTAAGTCCGGCTCCCACCTACAACTCGTGCCACTGGGGTCCTACCAAGCATTTTTTGCACTTTTGAATCTGTTGAGACGCTTGCTCGCTGCGCAGGAACACTTTGCCACTTTCCTGTCTCTCAAACTCTTGGAGTGCCTCTTGAAGCCTTGGAGCAGTCTTGGAGTGCTCTGGGATTGGTCTTGATGTGCTCTTTCCACACGCTCTTGAATTTGCCTTACATGTCTTACTCTGTTTAGTGTCTGCGCCCGGCATAATTTAATGCACAGTTGCCTTCCTTCCTTGCTGAAGCAGAGTACGATCAAAGCCTGAATCTGAGTCTTCTCGTAGTGCTTCGCCAGCACCTCCTACGTCGGGGCTTCCACGCGTTGGCTTCCCAGAGCTGGCAAAAGGATGCAATCGAACCCGGAGAACCGACAGAAGAAACATACCCTTTGAAATCAACATGCCCTTTCCTGATAGGCTCCAGAAGTAGCACGAAAGGTTGCCGTTGCCAGCTCGCTGTGCATAACCTCCGGGCTTGCCGACTTAAAGGTTTAGGCCATAGCCCTAGAAGAAGCGTTTCATATTATGGAACACTCTTTGGGGGCTCACATCGCAGGATGCAGAGCACCACGTCTAGAGGGACACATCTTCCTCTCAACAGCCAAGTGACAATGGTGTCGCCGGCCTCAAGGCGCCTCTGGGTCTCACCATACCTTTCTTCGCTTCAGGGCAGGGGGGGCTTTCGCTATTTTGGAGGGTTGTTTGGGCGCCGGTGCATGTCGGCGTAGGGTCGGGTAGGGTCTTTGTGAACTACCCTCAACGCCAGGTCCTTTGCCAACGAAACCCTCACTGCAGCGGGCATGCATGTCGTTGACATTGCTGAGACAGCTGATGCGATAGTACTCATCAGGCTGTCCTCCAGGTGGGACGAAGGCTCGTCCCATGAACCTTGCAGGGTGAAGCCAAGGTACAGGTCAGGGGTCGGGCTTTGGGTGTTCGCAAGAACTCGAATATGAAAGCAAGAACACCCGAGGAACGCCGTGGGGGCATAGAAGCGGGCTCCTCCGGCGATGCACAGGAGGAACCTTGACTGCTCTGAAGACAGAAGTCTCTGATCTGAGCTGCAGGGCTCCCAGGTGCCCTACAACCCTGAGTCCGATGATCCCCAAACGCCAAAACCCCGGCTTCCGAAATTGGGTGCCTTATTGGGGGTCCCTATTATAAGAGCATCTTACTATTTGGGGTTTATGTTCTGAGTCCCCTATTTTCGTAAACCCACGTCCCTCGGCCCTCTTGGGTGGAACTCTCCAAAGCATCCTGGCAGCAGAGTGGCCAGGGCAATCCTGGCAAAGACGCAGGGTTTACAGGGTGTATAGGGTTCATAGGGTTTGTAGGGTTTATAGGGTCGATAGGGTTTACAGGGTTTATAGGGTTTATAGGGTTTATAGGGTTTGCAGGGTTTAAGCGGGTTTTAGGGTTTAACAGGACTTTCTTCGGGTTAAGAGGGTTTATCGGGTTGATGGTTGAGGGCTTAGGATTCTTGAAAACAAGAAACAAAAAACCCTCTCGCTTCAGGAGCCCGGCACCTGAAGCCCTTCTTGGATGTGGGCCGGACGAAGCGATGTGCCCCTGCCGCGGCCAGCCAGCTCAGGACGAAGGTGAGGCCGCTGCGCCCGAACCAGGCGGCGCACTGTGTGAGGATCACGGCCTGTTTGCAATTAAACCCCCTGAGTCCAACATTCAAAGTAGACGTCCTCATGAGAGGTACGAGGATAGGTTGAAGTCCAGGATCTCTAAATCCTAAACTCCTGAGACTCTCACCTCCCCCCGCCCCATGATCTCGGAACATGGCTGAGCATTTTGAAGCTTAGAGCTTTGGGGTGTTAGGGTTTAGGCTTGAGGGCTTGAGGGTCATGATCAAAGTACTCCTTTGCCTCTTCCCCCTTCCGGCGTGGGGTTTGGGTTTAATGGCCTGGTTTAAGTTAACGCTGCTTTGCACGTTTCATGCTTTCTTCGCAAGAGTTGCCCGGGGGGAGGGGGGGTGGGCTTGAGACTTGCGGAGGTCTTGTTGAGGGGTTTTTGGGGGGGAGGGGTGATGAACGCGTCGCGTGTATCGAAAAAGCCGCTGAGCACAGTGTTTTCGCTTCGCGAGACAGAGGCCTTGATGAAAGATATGTTGACAAAGAAGAAACGTCTCTGAAAACCGCACGTGGTGTGCGTCGAAGATGCCGTGTTTTCGCCACAAAAAAGTCAAGAAAGCAAACAGTTTCAAAACAGGTTCTTCGCACCTGTCGACAGCACCGCCGTGCGCAGCGTTTTCGCACACGCGATCACAAAAGCCTGGTGGCAGGGGTGACTTTGACCATAGAGAAACAAACACGTCTGAGGATGCCTGCGCCCGTGAAACCCGGAGTTGCCATGTGCAAAACACGCGGATCCGCAAGTAGCAGAAGTATTTGCTTTCAAGTTCGGTGTTTTCGGATTCTATGGTTTAGGCTTTCAGGGCTTGGGGCTTTAGGACTTGCAGAAGCTTTAACGGCCCCAATTCAACCCAAAACATCCCTGAACCCACCATGAAACACAGGGGAGGGGGTGAAGGGGAACACAATGCGGTCTCGGTTGAAACGTCTGTGGGCCTTGGGGTTTCTCAATCTGTGGTTGAGGGCTTTGAGTAGGGTTCGCGGAGTCTCCTCGGTGACGGACAGTTGCCAAAACACTACCCGTTTTTGCACTCATGCCATGATAGATGAGAAGACAACGAAGCCTCGGGTGATAGCACGCTGTTAACCCCCGACCTGGCCAGCCAGGTCGTAGGCAGGGCTTCCAACAGAGCCGATGGGAAGGAACAGGGAAGACAGGATCCAACTTGGCTGTGCGGTTTATGTGGTTGAGGGTCCAGGGCTTGGGGTTTACGAACGGAGGTGCAGTAGCTCAGCGGATTCTCGGAGGTTTAAAAGGTGCAGAGTCATATTTTGGCTTAGGGCGGTCGAAGTGATGAAGCCATGTCGGACCCGAGGCACAGGGTGGTGTTGATGCACGGAAAGGCCAATGTCACAACCCAGTTCTCCGGGTGTCTCTGGACGAGCCAGCGGTGGGCCAAGTAGGCGAGAGACAACGGGATCTGCAGCAGCATACATATCCTGAGTTCCTTCCTAGACTCCAATAGGCGACACGCAGACTTCAGTGTATGTTTCCCATCATGCCATCATGCACTCTCATCCCCCCAACCGTGAACTAGAGGGACCCCCTGTGGGGACCCCAAGATAGAGCCGGAGGTCACCAGAGCAGCATACTCGAGGTAACCCCAGGTAGAAAGGCCCAGCATAAGCCCCACGCAAGCCAGGGCCGCGAACAAGAGCCACAAGGACTCCAGGCTCTCTGCCAAGACCTGAAGTGCAGCATTTGGGCTATTGACAACCAGAAGAAGGAAGTGAGATGGACTGATTGGCTCTCTTCTGGCTGAGGGACACAACAGCACCCCGTGCTCATCGTGCCCATGCCCGGAATCGCCTCACAGGGAGGCGAAACCTCTCAGCCTGCTGAACCCAAAGGTTGAGCTTAAACCTAAATTTCAGGTTTTCGACAACAGGCACAACACTGTCTACCAGAGTTTAAAATTCTCGTGCTCATTTCAACCCAGACCCAACTGAGAGCCTCCAGGTTGGTAAAGAGCTTCGTGAGCATCGCCAGGCTGAACACAAACAGCCGTTGTACGTGACTCCTGGTCTTGCATTTGCAACTTGCAATGCTGTGTCGGCCCGGCGATTAAAAATTCGGGGATCTGGCAGCTTTCGGTTCAAGGAGTTCAGACTCGGAGCTACTCAGACTTGCTTAGTCAGGGCCATGATGGTGTTCTTGGTGTTTCTTTGCTCGGCGATGGTTTTGCTGCGACCTGCCTTACAAGCACTTCGGTCTGTTCTTGACAACATCATGCAACACCGTCGCACGGACATCATGACAAAGGATTTCTACATAATTGCCAGGGCTCATGCTCCCCCATATTGGACATCCACCCAAGCTTGAAGATTGCAAGCAAGGATCATTGGGGATACTTTGATCTCCCGGCTGCCAATGGCTCTTCCATTGGGCACCAGATCTCCGACCGCAACCTGCAGGAATGTGGCTCAAACAGAGATTGACGTGAATTGCTCCGATGAAGCAGGCTAACTGTAACAACTCAAATTCAGCACCCACCTCAAACGCTTGGGTCGACATTGCAAGAAGAGGCAGAAGCTCAAGCACGAACCGCAACAGCTGCAAACAGCGTGGAGCTTCATCAACACCGAAACAACATGCAAGGATGTCTTCACGAGCCACAATTAACCTAAGCAGGTTCAACACTAGATGTTCGCCTCCTGAACCTCCTACACAACGACCTTGCAACCTCCCTTTGTGTTTCGGCTCCCGAGATTCCTACGCATGGTTCTGCTTCCGGCCATCTTGACGCACAAGCTGCTAACTTAAATAACACGTGGGGATACACCATGTCGTTCGAAGCCTCGGCAAACAAATCGAAAACAGCAACGCCTGTACACGTGCTCCCATGTCAAAATGGATACAACAAAGCATCACGACGCATCTCAACTGTCCACACTTTTCGCATGCGCTTTTGCACGCGGGAAAGCATACTGTGTTGGTGAACAAGTACAGTCCAGCAGGTTGCCTTTGGTCCAGGCAGTATTCAACCGATGCCAGTTAAGGAGAACTGCACACAGGGTCAAATACGTCTAGTGCGTGAAAAAGCAACGGGCGTGGTGGCAGCTGAAGCTGCGAGAAATCCTGGCAGGGTTTCCATAAGGTCATGTAAGCTGAGTTAGGGCCGCACTAAACAACCCAACCTGTCACAGGACTGTTGCCTTGACAGTGCGTCCGCGCTCCCTTGACGGTGTCACTCCCCTAGGAGAAAGTCGGCCTCCTCTACAAAATCTGGCATGCCCACAGAGTAAAGCCCGTCACCACATCATCAGGACAGATCATGCACTTACACAAGCACATCATGTTGCTTAAAAACTTTGAAGTTTGTCCCTTAAAACAACGTAACAACGTATTTCATTTCTTCGCCAGTTGATCAACCACCAAAAACTAACGACGATAGCACACCAAGCAGCAGAGCCCAATAGCGACGGTGAAAAACAAAATAGGTGAACCAGATATTGAATTAACAGCTTAAATGACAGTAGATCGATAATATTTAATGCATCATATGTAGATATATCTAATTTTTTTGAACTGTTTTTCTGAGAATTTTGAGGTTAAATTTATGAGGGCTTTAAAGCCCAAACAGCTACGCACTTGGATTGTTGATTCTAAACATGTTGCATTCATTGCATAGTCATCTTTCTCATCTTCACCCAAATCTTCATATCTAACACTATTCCCATTGTTATCATTATTATGATTACCAATTTGCATAAAAATCATTAGCTCGGCAACATTAAACATTTTACTATTTTTATTATTATCATTATTATTATTGTTGTTAATTCTATCATCAATGATACAAATTCAACTGTTGTAAAGTCGTCAGTTTCGTTGAATTTTGAATCATTGCTGTCGGTATCATGATTAATATCGACATGGAGAACAAAATCGATTCTATTAGCAAATTGCCAATCAGTGTTTATCCAATATTGGATCACATTGACCAACAAATGAATTATTTATAAATTGGAAGAATGTTTGTCATTCATTTATTCTCTATCCTGACTCCCCTATCGGGATGGTCTCTCAGTATGCCAGGATTGTTACCCAAATGAAGTTTATGCTGCAGTTGAGTCTCCCCGCAGACCCACTGGGCGATGACGATATGAGCCTACTTGAAGCCTGCCAAACCGCGGAAGACTTCCCGCTGACTGGCGCGCCCAACACTTGGAGCCTTGTGACGTTTCGGACCTTCCTCATGAATCGCATAGGGTCCCTTAAACGCTTCTTCGGCGCTATCACCACGGCCTGCTCCACTGGCCCCACATTTGGGATATGTGTCTTTGTGACATGTCGGGCTTCTGGATTCCTGTTTAGTAGCGAGGCAGGGTTTGCCCGAGCCACCTCCTCCTTCACGAGAGGGCTTGGGGCTTTGGTGTTCGTGGCACCGCACTACTCTGATGGTATAGGTGCATGCTTCCAAATGGCGGCCTGCGCAACCGGGGGCCTAATTGAATGCGCTGAATATGTGCGCACACAAGCCAGCTTGTGGAGCATGGATGGCCCTGGCATTGCAACGGCATTACACAAGCAAGCCTTCCGAGAACGGACATACTGGATCCCTGTCCGGCCCTTGCCCCTATCTGTTCGGGTCAGAGGCTCTGGCCCATCCAGGTTGGTTCACTGAGCAAGGTTCGGGGGGGGGGGTTCGAACCTGGGTTCAACCCAGGTTCGAACTCCCGGCCCTCCGGGGGGGGGCGGGGGGGGGGGCGGGGGGGTGGGAACAACAACATCGAGAACCTGGGTTTAACCTGGGTTCAACCTGGGTTCAACCCAGGTGCAATTTTTTTCCGAGTTGAGCGAACAAATGCGATCCACCGTCTTGGTGTTTGGGTTGTGAAAACCGTGCCTCTGTACTGGCACCACTGATGGCCCTCTTGGCCCTAATGTACAGGGGAGGAAACCACCTCCTCCTAAGCTACCATCCTCTTTGGGATGCTACCAGAGGTTGTACCTCATGAGAGGAAAGAAACCTCCTGGCAAAAGCTCCTCAGGTTGCTGGTGCAGGGTTGCAACCGTGAGAGAAGGGGCCAGGGGTGTGCTCTGGCAGTGAGGATGAACCTCAGCTTGCATCCTCTTCGGGATGCTACCAGAGGCTGGTACCTCATGAGAGGTTAGGAACCTCCTGACAAAAGGTCCCTCAAGGCCTTTGGTGCACTTTGTGCAGGCTGTCAGAGGGAGGCGGTCAGGGTTCCGCTCCGGTAGCGAGGATGGTACCTCTGTGCTATCCTCGCTGGGAGGATGCAACCTCCTAGGCTGCTTCAGCTGGTGGTTCCCTGAGTGGGACCAACTCCCAGCGAGGTTCCTCCATGATGTTGCCGAGGGGTCGCGCGAGCCCATAGTCTGGCGACGGCAACTCATAGAGGACTTTCATGTCGATGAGAGCCTCGACAAAGACCATGTCCATGGTTTTTAATTCCCACAGCAACAAGCTTGCCAGCATGGGGATGCTGGCATGGTGGAGGCTGACCCACCTCCTGACTTTGCTGCTCAGGGTGGGTGAGTCTTGGTCAAACCACCGGAAGAACGAGACGAGCCGGGTCAGGCTGGGGAAGCCGTAGTGCTCTCTGGTGCCCCAGTTGGCCACGTCCAAACTTGTTAACCGGTGGTATTTGGCCATTCCCAGGTACCCCCAATTATGCTCCCCTTGGTCGCGGGGATGGAGGTACCCCTCCAAAAAACGAAGTCCACACCACAACCAGATCAGAATGCACATCTGGAGGAACGACCCGTCCGGTGTCGGGCGGACTGGGGCCACCATCCGCTCGACGGTGTAGGCCCTCAGGTCCTGGGCTGGGAGCCCAGGGACCTCGACCTGGAGGGTGAACCTCCGGCAGACCTGGGGCCAGGAATCGAGGGACAGCGCAAACAGCTCCCACTCGAAGTGGTGGGCATCTTGGGGGCCCACCTTCAGGACCCAGCGGGGTTCCCGGTCAAGGGTATACACCACCCTTGACCCTCCCCGAGCAAGCATGGTCAGGTACCTGATCTTGCCCTGGACCTCATACGAGGCCTGGTCGGGCATCTGGTTGGCCAGGCCATTACCTCGACCGCGGCTGCTTGCTTGGAGGATAAGGTTACCTCCCTCGTTGTGGGGCCTGGTGCCCGTGTTAAGGTCTGCCGGGGGCTCCTGGTCCTCTTGGTCCTGCTCCTCCACTGGGGCAGGCTCCGGACTGGTTTCGGAGGCATCCCCTCCTGAGCTTTGGGCTTGGTCCCATTCTCGGGAGGCCTCCCACCAGCTGGATTGCTGCCATCCCTCCCATTCTTCGTGCCCCCATCCAGGGTGGGCGGCACGTCTGGCTGGCGGTGGCATGGGTGGGACCCTTTGGGCTGCCTCGGAGACAGCCTGCTGCCTCTGAGCCCTGGCTTTCTTACCCGGCCTGTTCCTCTGCCTCTGCAAGGTGTAGTCATCTACGAACCTTTGTGCCGGGGTCCTGCGTTCGAGCAGCAACTCTCCCTTGCCTTGGGCTTTGCCGGGCTGCCTGCTCGGAGGAGGAACCTCCCTCTTTCTATTCTCCCAAGCCCTTGCCTCCGGAGGCTGCCCCTCCCCTGCCGGTGTTGTGGGTGGCAGTTCCTGGTTGTTTCGGCAGGGGCTACATTGGACCCCTCCTGGGTGTCGTCGCCGGTGGGGTGGTGTGGAGCCTCTGGCTCCGGGGGGCCCCACCCTCCGGCTTTCCTTCTTCACTCTTCACTGGAGCCTCCTGGGCCTCCTGGCCCTGGGAGGGCAGGTCCTCCTGCTTCATTTCCGCCATTGCGCACGGGGGGGTTGGGCCCTTCTACTGGCTTGGCTGCCTGCGCTGGCTGAAAAAGGCTGCGGATGGGATTTGTCGTTTCTGGCTTGAACTGCGACTTACATCGGGGGTCCAACCCAGGTTCAACCTGGGTTCAACCCGGGTTCAGAACCCGGGTCAGAATCCAGGTTCAATTTTTTCCGAGTTGAGCGAACAAATGCGATCCACCATCTTGGTGTTTGGGTTGTGAAAACCGTGCCTCTGTACTGGCACTACTGATGGCCCTCTTGGCCCTAAAGTACAGGGGAGGAAACCACCTCCTCCTAAGCTACCATCCTCTTTGGGATGCTACCAGAGGTTGTACCTCATGAGAGGAATGAACCTCCTGGCAAAAGTTCCTCAGGTTTCTGGTGCAGAGGGTGCAAACCGTGAGAGGAGGGGCCAGGGGTGTTCTCTGGCAGCGAGGATGAACCTCAGCTTGCATCCTCTTCGGGATGCTACCAGAGGCTGGTACCTCAACAGAGGTTAGGAACCTCCTGACAAAAGGTCCCTCAAGGCCTTTGGTGCACTTTGTGCAGGCTGTCAGAGGGAGGCGGTCAGGGTTCCGCTCTGGTAGCGAGGATGGTACCTCTGTGTAATCCTCGCTGGGAGGGTGCAACCTCCTAGGTTGCTTCAGCTGGTGGTTCCCTGAGTGGGACCAACTCCCAGCGAGGTTCTTCCATGATATTGCCGAGGGGTCGCGCTAGCCCATAGTCTGGCGACGGCAATTCATAAAGGACTTTC